TGGCAATAAGCTCTGACAGATCCTTCAGTGCCTGAAAACCGTTCTGGAGGGTGCGCTTGCTCAGTTTTCCCAAAGGCAATTTCTGAGCGTCGTAGGACATGGAAGCCATGGTGGACTGAAAAAGATCCTTGTTGAAGATGAATGACACGAGGTCTTGGATAGGTGGCGATAAGGTGCATTTCACTTCCTCTACCTTGGGCTTGGTGGGTTTCTTCGCGACGACTTTGTCTTCACCCTCGTCTTCATCTTCCGTGTCGTCCTCGTAGTTCTTTTCAATGAAGGTATATTTACCCTTCTTTGGTGGATCCAAGCGTTTCTCCCAGGTCAAGCCTGACTTGTCCTTGAACTTTTTCTTGAACTCATACTCTGCCTCATCCAAGTTCCCATTACCCAGTAAAGCATTTTGTCCATGTTCGCCCACCCGGCCCCAGTGGGTCCAAGTTTTGAACTCGTTGTTTCTGTGGAGAAGCTGAATGCGGTAGAATTTGTTGTTATTATTGGTCGCACTCGTCTGATTAAGTGTCGCATCCCAGATGAGGCCAGTGGGATCAATGTATACGGCATGAGTTACTATTAACGGTTAGATTTTCCTCCGACTTGATCAAGAGTTGGTGCCTATTACCTCGAAGAGGACATATTTCATCAACAGGAACGTTGATTCCTTTGGTGCCAACCGTCTGTGCATCCTTAAGCTTCTTCGTACTTCCATCCTCATTGATTCCCAGAGCCTCTTCTAAGGTACGCTTCTTTGGACTTTCCGGTCCATCTTCTTTCTTGACGTCGGAGCCCATCAGGAATTTCTTCTCATCCAACTTCTTTCCTTCACTGTCTGACTCGATAAGCCAGTCCAGGGAGACGATGTTGCAGGTGTAGACCTTGCGAGCCTGCGTGTCTACAATTTGTCAGGAGAAGGGGTACAGACAGGGCTCGGCTTATACTCACATTTGACACTCTTGTTGTCCACTTCCCTCTGAGTGGTCACTAGATGGGTGCAATCTTCTGTTACCGCTGAGCTGAATGTTCCCCCATGACGCTGAACGATAGTCTTCAGACTTGCTGTTGCAAGAGCGTAGAGTCAGTATGTGACTTCTGGCAGTGAAGTGAGACATGCTCACCTTGTGTATAGCCGCGAAAGGACCCAGCAACGGCTATGACCAAGCCCTTGAAAGCTTGGCCGGTCATGGTGATGAGTAAAATGGGAGATGTGAGATGTGAGAAAGGATGAAACTGAGAGAGAGAGAGGAGAACAGATGCAGTGAAATTGAGGGAATAGGAGGTAGTGAGAGTAGCGGATAAGAGCAATAATGTCGTCAGATTTTAGTCAGGAGGATCAGAGGCAGAGGGGAGTAGTTCCGGATAGCGGAAGGTACTCGTGATAGGATGCTTGAAGAAGACGGACAAGAGAGATGGGAGAAACATGATTATATAGAGGTGAGCATGAGGCGGAGATCTAGTGGAAGGTGATATTGTTTTGTCTGCAATGCCCCAGCCTGAGGCTCCCGTGGCTGCTGCTGCCTGAGCTCTGGGGGAATTGCCGAGACAGATGTGATGTGATTGGTCGGAGCTTGGGTGGGCCTCCAGGCACCAGTCGCGCACGTGATTCTGCCTGTGCGGACTGCGGAGGGCTCCCTGGAAGTTTAATTGACCGAGTTGTGCGAGATCTTCAGGGTCTAATTTATCAGGCAGCAAAGGACTCTTATAATAGTAGCACCAAGCGACAGCTCTAATTGTGCGAGGTGGGCATTATCTTGCCTGTAGGCGTGTTGTATTTCAAATGTTCATATTTGGCAGATGGCTGGAGGTAGATCAGCTAGTATATATACAATGTACCATTGTGAAAGAATAGAGTATGAATACGATAGAAACAAGTAAAAAAAAAAAAAAAAAAAAAGGAAAGGAAAGGAAAGGAAAAAAGAAAAAAGTTGGGGATGCTGATGAAGATGAAAAAGACACAATCACTGATCGAGACGCAAAAAGTAAAGAAAGTAATCAAGCCAGTCGCCAGTTTTGGCGCTGCTGGGAATCGAACCCAGGTCGAAACGGCGCTGCGGAAAACCACAACGTTTCATGATGACCACTACACTACAGCACCTTGATTACATAAATTTGTGGATATTATTGCCTACATAACTGAAGAGTACAGAGATGGCGGTAAAGGCACAAGCAAGCAGTCCTGATAGCATCTGCCGCCAACATCTCAACACCGAACAACACAACACTGCTACCAAACATTGTACGGGATACGCGCGTCTAATCATTATCAATATTCAGATTATCCACATTAACATTAATGATGTACAGGGTATGAAAAATAGCAATCGCCCAAATAGCTATATGCAAAACTTTTGTTGATTAATGATCCCTTTAGTGCTCCGCGACGCCGTTCTCCTCCACCGGATCCTCCGCATGAGACTCGGCAACCTTATCATAAAACGGAGCAAACTTGCTCCGCTTCCTCAGGTTCTTACCATAGAAATAGAAAGCAACCGGGATAGGCACCAGGATAGACGCCACGCAGCCCAGCAGCGTGGCAGCCCACTGAATGCCCATGTTGTTGAACATCTGACGCGAGAAGAGGGGGAAGCTGGCTGCCACCAGGGAACGACAGAAGGTGTTCGCTGCGATAGCCGATGCGGCACTGGAAGATTGATTAGTACAGGGTTCATCGGCAAGGGACAAGCCGAGGCAACTTACAACATCAGGTAGGTATCAATCAGATAGTTGAACAGCTGGATGAAGATGATCAACAGACCAAATCCAGTGAACAATCCACTCAGTGTGGGTACAATCCAATGGATACTCTTCGTGAAACCGGTCCAACCGAACCAGAACAGTCCTGCAGCGAAGAGCACACCACCGATAATCACAGGCGGCAAACGCCATTCAGGGACGGGAATGCCCCCATTGGCCTCTAACTTCTTGTTGTACCCCCGACTAGCGAAAATGATATAGGAGGCCGCAATGAACAAACCAACCACCATGCCGAATAACGTCAATCCACCAACACCAGCAGACATGCCGTACACGCCCTGGAAGACGAGTGTGTAGGCTGTCAGGAAGCAGTACAACAAGCCATAGATGAAACTGAGATAGATTGTCACCGCCAGAATCAATGGCTCGCCAAAGAGCAGCCGAAGGGGACGGGAGAAGTTGTTGACGAGTAACTCCCGCAAGTCAACCTCGATTTCCTCCTGCTTTGCGTGGATGCCCCAGTTCTTTGTGCGACGGCGCAGTTCCGAAGCCTTTGAGACCAGGATAATCGGCGGATAGGATTCCTTCAAGAAGAACATGTTCAGAACGAAGGCGGCATAGCCCATGAACGCGGGAATGTAGGCGGTCCAGCGCCAACCGAGGTATGATGAGTTGATGAAACCACCGATGAATGGAGCCAGAAGCGGACCCAGGAACACTGTGCTGGAGAACATGGCAATAGCGACACCACGGGTGCGGTTGTTATAGATATCGGAGAAAACGGCAGCCACAACCGCCAGCGGACAACTGCCAAAGACACCACAGAAGAAGCGACAAATCATGATCGTCTGCAGATCCTTGGCGACAGCGACAGCGGTGTTGAAGATACCGAATCCCAACATAGCCACCAGAATGGGTGGCTTCCGTCCCTTCAGCTCGGAGAGGGGTGCCCACACCAAAGGTCCGGACGCATAACCGCAGATATACAACGAGCTCGACAGGGTGGCGACTTCAATGCCTACACCGAACACCCGCGCAACGTTGGTGGTAGAGGAGCTGAAGATAGCCGAATCGAAGGTACTGCAGATACTGGTGAAGGCGAGGATGGCGCTGATGTAAATCCTAGGCGAGTCATAAGTCAGTATTCAGTTGATCAACATGCCTGTTATGCGCGACGGGGTTGAGATGACATACTTCGTCCCCAATTTCCAGTTCTGGGGGTATAGAGGATCCTCGGGGCCGTCAAATTCGACGACATAGTCTTCTCGATCGGGAAGAGGGGGTGGATAATCCTTGTTGGCGCCCATGCGAGGTAAGGGCGCTCGGGAGGCGCGAGACTTGACGCTTTCACCCACGGTCAACTGATGCTGAAGCCGTTGGGTTTCGATCCTGCTTAGGGCATGGGAAGTGGCCGTGCGATGACGCTCTAGGTCGAGTTCAGTGTTTCGCGAATGGAGAGTGTGCAGCTGGGGATTGTATTCAATCGAGCTACTATAACTGGTCGAGCCAGTGGTGCCTGAAGATGATGGCCTCTCGAGGCCTTCCTCCTTGCTCGCGCCATTAGTATGGGGCCGAGCATCGACCTCCGCCATCTCTAGTTGCTCGTCGATGGGAGACATAATGACAGCCAGCGGGGAGCAGTATCTGGTCTGATCTGGACGACGGGGCCCTGGAGCCAGGGACAACAGGATTTGCTTGCACGCAGAAGGACCGACAGGGACAGACAAAGACTGAGCGATGGGGGTCTAGCCTGAATAATAAACGAAAACAGCTTGCTTGCCTCCACTGGTGTGGCTCCTAGGCCAGCATCCGATTTATCCGTCCTGCACTCGGGAGACCCACCGTGAACGGCTGCCATTCCTCATTGCGATTGCCGATTGAATGATCACCGGGGACATGCCAGGAGGGTATCTAGGCGGGTATTTAGTTTGACGGGGAGTATATGACTTCCATGGCATCTGTTGAGTATGATGGTGGCACGTCTCGTTCATAATTCCCAATGTTCGCCAGATTTCTGAGGGGTCGAGTGATCGCTGCCTGAGGCAGCATATGCAGAGCCCCTCGAACGCCAAGGCTGAACTCCGCCTCCCTGACGTCATGCGCACGAGTCATTAGTCAGGCCTGCAAATCTTTTTGCAGGATTTGCATAGAATTTTCGCCTGGTTCGATCCGCCAGCCAGACCACTCTGGCACTATCGATCCGCTTCTAGTAATGGACGCCGTGCCCAATGGCCCCCAAGTGCCTGATGGTAAAGAACATGCTGCTCAATGTGGACATATGATCCATCAATGAACCCCTGACTATCATTTACTCGAGACATATATACTAGTACTAGTTAGCATGCTCATGAGAAGTACAGTAGTAGTCATCTAGCGACTACCGGTGTACTGTCTATTGCTGGTCTAACCCTGATACCGCAAAATGAAAACGGACTGTGGACCATTTCAGCCTGCTGGGGGCTTATGCTTGTTTTGTTTTGGACCCAGTGTCCCCTTTCCACACCAATTTCTCGCCGGCCTTAGCGTCCTTGGCTAGTCTTAGCCAGGATTAGCTGGGTCAGGCACCGATTTGTAGGACATTCCAGCCCCAGTTGCTGGCCCCGTCGCACTATCCATCCATTGATGAACGCAATTTCCGTGGCTCGACCTGCTCGCACATCCTCCCGCATACTGCTGGAATTACTGGCCGTCTTCTCAATGTTCCCGATCAATTGCTCCTCAAGTCTGGCTACGGAAAATTGTTCCTGCACGTCGGGTAGACCCTGAAGCTCCGGAAGACGACGGAACACCAGCGAGATCTCCTGGAGAAGCTGATGTTGCATCTCCTGCAGCTCGGGGTTAGCTAACAGCGAGCCGTTCCGCACATCCAGCAGTGCCGTCAATGGATTGACCACACAGTTGGTCGCCAGTTTCAGCAGCTGGGCCTGGTGGAGCTCCATCCACGGCATTTCGGAACATCGGACGATCGGTGCTTCGACCAGCCGGTCGATGAGAAATCGAGATTGGGCGGACGCTGTTGATGGAGATGATAATGAGGATGCCTGCTGGCCATCGTTGACGATCCCCAGAGCACATGATCCGGTCAGCCCCGCCAGCACGGCTTCAAACGGCGCTTTTATGTAGACCCCATGGCGCATAATGCCAAACATGTATGTCAGTCGTGTCAGCGGGTCTGTGAATAGGCGCTCATTGAGCTCTTCGATCTGCCCTAGGCCATTTTGGAAGAGACAGATAACGGAATGCCGTCCGAGCCGGTGCTGGATCGATCGGAGAGCAGGGATGGTTGCGCTCGTCTTGACCGCTACAATTAGGTGATGGATGGGCGATTCACCCTGTAGGAGTTCGGCGTCGTACCCGGTACTCTCTTGTGTTGGTCCGTCTTCGCCAATTTGGAGACGCAGCTTGCTCCCCGCAGAGAGAAAGCCGTGGTATGCCGACTCGCGATGGAGCAGAAGGGTCATAGGCGGGGGCGCGGGGAGGGAGCGAAGCGAGTGAGCGATAAGGGTCCCGATGCTTCCAAGTCCGATGAGGTGAATCCGCTGGGATGCCATTGTGTATGTGTCACACAATGGTAGAATTGGCGATTAGGTGAGGTGATCGGTGGGAAGATTGGAATGTTTTGTTCATCTGTTTACCGGGAATAACTCCGCGGCTAGTTTGGTGCCCTTCGCTTGCGGAGAGGCATGCGGGGCAGTGCCCCTTAAATTCTTTAGTACAAGGTTCTGGTTCCTGCACCCCATGTTTATCACTCTAATTGACACCTTAACGAAAATAACAAGGCATATATTCATAACTTAGTCTCCATCCCATAAAGTCATCATTATATACAACTCCCGCAAGAATGAACAATAAATCACAATCTTTCCCATCCATAAATACAACCCCCATACCTATGAACATATCTTCCTTGCCCCCCTTCTATTCCCTCCCCCACGCAAGACTAAAAGATCGGCATCCTAACCGGATTCTCATAATCCACATTCTCCTCTCGACTCTCAATCCGCTCATGACACGTTCCAAAGATCTTATCCCACAGCCTAGTCTGCTTTCCATAATTATGACTCTTCTTCCATCCCTTGCGATGATGCAAATCATGATCCTCAATCACCAACTCCGCCCCAATCAACTTCAACAACCAATCCAGCGTTGACGGCGGCGACGCATGCATCCTCAATCCACTGTGGCCCGCCAACTCCGTGAACATCACATACTGATGGCAGATCCACCACTCATAGAACCCCATCGGCATTCCCATCAGCTTCATACTGAAGTATGTCATCAGCGGGATGCCCGCGATGTCGAAGAACTCCTGCTCTGTGTCCGCGTACAGGGTTAGGAGTGGGTTGGGGTGCTTGGTCAGGTGGTGCGTCCGGTGGTACTTCCAGAGACTGCCTACATCGTGCATCAGTCGGTGGTACCAGTAGAACCAGAAGTCGAGGATGATGCCGTATAGTCCGATTTCGAGTGGTAGCCAGCCCCAGCTCATCTGGGCCGGTGCTTGGCTGACTCGGTAGCTGAGGAAGACCGTCATGATGGGTCGGAAGGTTGATGTCGATAGCAGGGACCGGACGACCTTGGCTACTCCGACGTCGGGGACGCCGTCACGGCCGTGCTGGTCGCCGTCTAGGAAACCGAGGACGTGGCCCATGCGGCGCATGACTTGGAGTTGGTGGATGGCGATCAGCTTGAAGGCGACGGAGTAGAGGATGAAGGCGCCCACGGCGGTGAAATTGTGGCCGGTGTAGGAGACGTAGACGTGGTGGACTGCGAGGGGGAGGAGGGCATGGTAGAGGATCCAGAGGTGCTGAGACCATGATCTCATGTAGGGAACCTTCTCGGTCTTTGGATGCACGGGGACCTCCTTGTCGAGGTTGCTGGGGTGCACGCCGAGGATCTCGAAGAACCAGTGCCAGACGCTCCACTCGGCGCGATCCAGTCGACGCCATGTAGACTTCATTGAATCCTTAGGATTGGGGTGTGTACCGCTCATGATGGGTGGTAAGGGTGGTGGTCAACTCATCTGCGAGGATACCCTTGTGGGGGGGAGGAAGGGGTGGGATGGGCTATATAGGGCTGCTGGAGTGCCGGATTTTCACCCTGCAGCGGGAGGCCCTCTCCGAATGCGAATAGGCAAGTTTCTCTTGCCAATCGCATGTGATTGAGAATCCGGGGGGGTTCATGTGGGCATCGGATGTTCTGAACGGGTTAAGTTTTGGGGTTCGTTAGGCCGCTTAACGAGGGGAAATCGCCGCGGCTTTGCAGATCACTCGAAAAGAAGGCCCGTCGTTGGTTGGCGTAGCGGCTCAGCGCTTGACTCAACTGAGGATCCTTGACACATGAAGGTCGCTTCTTGTTGGGAATAAGGTGTGCCTCGGATTTGTGTCTGGAATGTTGGGATGAAGTGGCATGCGGCTTGGAAGCCTGATTGCGGCCATTGATCGATATGTGATGTCTGCTCTCTCCACTTGGCCAGTTGCCACGGGGCTGATGAGATGGTGCTTCTTAACAGTATGTCATCTTATCTCATCGTTACACATGGCTTCTATTTGGGGCTGGCAGTATCTCGTCAGCCTGTCAGCCTGTCAGCCTTGCAGGGTCTGCTGTGATCTGTCGTAGCCGTCAGGAATTATCCTGGATGATGGTGCCTATTGCTTGCTCGTGAGAACACCTGTACGGTTGATCAGGTCCGTGAAGGAAATTACACCCCGACTATGCATCGGAAGAATTCGAAACTATATTTTTGAAGACAGGCCAGTGAATGATGGTGTTGGGACAGATGTGACAGCGACTCGAAGTTGCAGCTTGCAGCAGAGTGGTTCGCGACCATTACCGCATTGGGAAATCTGGGCAGCGGCCTCGGGATTGGCAACTGGCAACCACCTGAACATGACGCTGCTGAAACTGGTCAAAGCAGTCCGTAGGAGTAGATCTCGAAGTCTAGCGAAATTTGTCGAAATGTGCCCATACTTGGTAAACTGTTGTTGATCTGAAACAACTTTTACTCGACTGTGCTGAAGTGTGGACCTATAACACATTGATTTATGCATAAACAAAGTGTAGGCGCCACCAGCGCATCAATAGCACGATTTGATCTACTATATTTACATCCTCACTTACAAGACTCATAGTATATCTACGACCATTCACCACATCTTTGGAGGTCATTGCGCGTCGTCCTGGGTTGTCACCAGAAAGGGATAAGGGAAATTGCCTAGGCAGGGGTAACAAGTGACCTACACGCCTGATATTTCAGTCATTGGGTTGGTGTACAGCCAATTTAGTTGCCAGAAAGAATTGAAGAAGAGAATACCATCTCAATCATGGTATTGCAGACGATCCTCATCTCAAGACAATCACTCGGAACAGACGGTAGTGCGATGCAAGAAAGCTATTATAACGGACGACCGTTGAACCCTAACACATCATCCGACCGGAAGGAAAACAAACAACGCAGTAGGCCAAATATAACCAGAATTCAGGAGCAACAAACATTAGGTTTTGAGCTATACTATTTATTGCTGGGAGAATCCATGTGGGCGACCCAAATTTGCGCCCGCGCGCCCGATAAATAGGGCGGCCATACCTGATTGAAGTGCATCTCCGACCGGGGGATCTCCACCCGCCCGGATAGCCGTTTCATCCTGACCCAATTCTGGCATCAGGAACCCTATGTCCGTGAGCTCGATTGTGATTGTAAACTTACATCCAGACAGGGGTCATGCAGGTGAAACCTAGTTCGGAATGGTAGGTAGCACTTCAGCTTGGTCGGACCGACGGGGATCATGCAGCATACTTAACCCCTGATGCCGACGGAATGTACACCATTCCCTGTCAAGCGCGTCTTTCTTTCCGTGTCCATCCCAGTCGCTCCCTCGGATTCACTCATTGTAAGTCCTTTAGCAGCGTGTTATATCGTGTCACTAATTCTCTAAGATGATCCGTCGCGTTCTCTTGTCACTCGCTTTACAGTGCATGGTCACCGCGACCATTGCCAACCCGGACACTCTTTCACACAACTATGACGAGCGCGGCCTGTTTGGTGAACCGGAATTCGATTACGTGGTCGTTGGTGGCGGTACAGGTGGAAACACTATTGCAACTCGACTGGCGCAGAAGAATTTCAAGGTGGCAGTGATCGAGGCTGGAGGATCATATGAACTCGAGTCGGTGGCCGAGGTGCCTGCTGCGGACGTGCTACCAGTTGGGTCGGATCCAGAAACTGCTGCTGCTCACGACTGGGGATTCGTCGCAGAGAATGTTCCTGGTGCGAATGGCCGGTCCATTCACTATGCTCGGGGGAAATGCTGGGGTGGATCGTAGGTGTCGCATATCGCTCAGAAGGGACAAAGCTAACGCATATACAGCTCCGCGATGAACTTTATGATTTATCAACGGTTTGTGTTTCTGCTCAGAAACAGCTCAGAGATGATCCCACTAACGGTCTGCCAGGCCAACCATCGAGTCTATGGAGCAATGGGCCACTGCCGTCAACGACAGCAGCTATACCTTCGACCAGACGCTGCCTTTCTACAAGACCAGCGTGAAATTCACTCCCCCTAACACTCAAATCCGGGCCAAGAATGCCACCGCTGGCTATGATGCCAGCGCGTATGAATCCACTGGTGGTCCGCTGAAGGTGTCATACGCGAACTACGCAATGCCCTTCTCGACATGGATGGACCTTGGCATGAAAGCCATTGGTATCAACGAGACGCAGGACTTCAACCTGGGCTCACTGATGGGCGGCCAGTACTGCGCATCAACCATCGACCCCAGCGGCGAGATCCGGAGTAGTTCCGAGGAGTCGTTCCTTGCGAACAAACCTTCGACCCTGACCACGTACGCAAACACCCTCGCCAAGAAGATCATCTTCAACAACCAGAAACAGGCGACCGGCGTGCAGGTCAAGGGCTCCGGAGGTAACATCTTCACCGTCAAGGCAAACCGCGAAGTCATCGTCTCCGCGGGTGCCTTCCAGTCTCCCCAGCTGCTCATGGTGTCTGGAGTTGGTCCGCAAGACCAGCTCGAGGAACACGGCATTCAGGTCGTAGCTAACCGTCCGGGCGTGGGCCAGAACATGTGGGATCACCCGTTCTTTGCGCCTTCATATCGGGTCAACGTGCAGACCTTCACCGCGATCGCCAATGACTTCCTAGGTATCGTCGGCCAGTTCATCAACATGGTCGGCTTCGGCAACGGCCCACTTACCAACCCTATCTCGGACTACCTCGCCTGGGAGAAGATTCCGGCGGCCCTGCGTAGTGCCTTTAGCAACCAGACTACCAAGCAACTGGCTTCATTCCCGAGTGATTGGCCTGAGGCCGAGGTATGTGTTATTTTTTGCATGTATGCATCATACTGCAGACACGCTAATGCAATACAGTACATCTCCGGCGCCGGATACATGGGCAACGTGTCTAATCTGCTCACCACCCAGCCCCAAGACGGGTACCAGTACGCCTCCATGCTGGCTGTGCTCATCACCCCGACCTCCCGCGGCAACATTACGCTTCGCTCTGCTGACACCGATGACCTCCCCGTCATCAATCCCAACTGGCTCGCCACTCAATCCGACCAAGAGGTCGCCATCGCCATGTTCAAGCGTGTTCGCGCGGCCTTCCAAAGCAAGGCCATGGCGCCAGTCATCATTGGCAAGGAGTATAACCCCGGTCTGGAGGTACAGTCAGACGAGCAGATCCTCCAGTGGATCAAGGATAACGTCATGACGCTCTGGCATGCCGCCTGTACGTGCAAGATGGGCACGTCTGACGATGAGATGGCGGTGGTGGATAGTCAGGCTAGGGTGCATGGAGTCCAGGGTGTGAGAGTCGTGGATGCGTCTGCATTCCCGTTCTTGCCGCCGGGACACCCTCAGTCTACCGTCTGTAAGTTATACCTTTCACCTTGTGGTTCGATGAGGATCAGATACTAACGCGGAATAGATATGCTTGCGGAGAAGATCGCCAACGCAATTATCAACGGGGCATGATTTCTATCCGTCATACCTTGAGTTCTTACATACCTTTCCCTCATATATTGTACAATATATAACCAGAGTATCATAATTGATGAACATAATATTATCACGGAGAGCATCTCTCTCGGGAAATTCGAAAATATGTATACATGATCATAAGCCATCCTCCTCCTCTCTCCCATCTATCTTGACATATCAAGTATCATTGCAAGATCAATCCCAACCCCTCCGCTGCACCTTCTCCTTCTCCTGTTGCTCCGACTCCAAAACATCACTATCGTATCGCGGATCGAGCTTGTTCAACAACTTGTTTGAATGCGGCTTCGAGGTGGAAGGGGCAGTTGTGCTCGAGCCGGGGCCCGGGAAACGAGGCTGGCTAGCGGAGTCTTCGGGATCGGTTTGGTCATTATGGTCGATAGGGTCGACGTTCTTTGCGTCGATGAAGTCGCGGCCCATGGGAGGTTGGTCGGCCATGATGGATAGCGGTGGAATTATTGTAATGGGCGGATGGTATTGTGAGGTGTAAATTATGTGTACTAGGAGTGATTGAGACTCGTTTTTTGTTTATGTGAATATGATCTGATAGAAGTACGTGCTTGGTAAAGGTGGTGATTATATACTGATTGTTGTATCTGGCAATGGCCACTATTACATCATTGGTATATCATCCCGACTAAACTAGTTACCAGTTAACGTGGAAATGACGATGTCTGGCACTTCCAGAAACCGGACAGAATGCTGGGCTCCGAGGAGATACATATAATCATTCAGCGCTATTATAATGATTATATAGCAATTGACGTCAACGCTAGCATAATGCTGCGAGTGGAATTGAGGATGCGGGCTGGGGGTGTGTTGTCCAATCTCTCGCTGGCGGAGAACATAATATCTGTCCGGGTATGCCGCGGGATGGCTCAAAAGTACACATAGTCCCCGATCCCTGAAAGCTTAGAAATCACAGCTTTTCGTGAGCAATTAACCTCCTTGTATTTAGCCTTTTATTGTGAACCCCGAACAATGGGTATCCTACCAACCCGAGTATTGTCTCGGATGTCGGATCTCGGATACCCCATGGATTGATTCATAAGTCCTCTTCTCCCACCGGCTCGGCTGTCCCATCCGAACCACAGCAACAAAGCATCCAGAACGCGGGGTATATAAGAATACAACAACTGACAAAAGCATGAATCTGTACAAACAATCAATATTTCTTCCGTACATACTCCATCCACATCAAAATCCATCAAACAAGATGTCCTCCACACAACCCACCCACCGTCGCGCCGTCCGCCGAACAGACGACTACACCCCGAACAACCCCAAAGTGAACATCGTAACAGAGCCACTTCCCCTCCCACTCTCCCCCACAGCAGTTCTCATACGAGTCCACGCCGTGGCCCTCAACTACCGCGACGCCAACATCGCCAACGGCGGGAACCCATGGCCTGTTCTCCCCCACGGGATCCTGGGCAACGACGCCGCCGGAGAAGTCATAGCCACCGGGGACAAAGTGAAGACCCTGGCTGTTGGGGATCGCGCGGCGCCAATCACAGACACTGAGCAGATTACAGAGCGTGCGACGAAGCGGTCGTGGCTGGCTGCTGATGAAGATGGGGTGATGGCGGATTACATTGTTTATGATGAGAGTGTGCTGTGTAAACTTCCAACTTACTTGGATTGGGTGCAGGCGTCGATGATTCCTTGTGCGGGGGTTACGGCGTGGTCGGCGTTGAAGGGGATGAGGATTGGGCAGACGGTTTTGGTGCAGGGTGAGTCTTCATTCTTATCTTAAGTAGTGGGTTTATTTGAGATTGACGAAAGATTTAGGGACCGGAGGAGTTAGCATGTTTGCGCTAAAGTTGGCGCTCGCGGCTGGTCTGCGTGTGATTCTGACATCGTCGAGTGATACGAAGCTGAAGGCTATTAAGGAGAAGTATTCTGGTTCTGCTATCTTGACAGTTAATTATAGGAATACGCCGGAGTGGGATGAAGAGGTGTTGAAGCTTACTGATGGTGTCGGTGTGGACTTGGTGGTGGAGAATGGCGGAACGGGATCCCTTGTCAAAAGTATGCGATGTACTCGTCGTGGCGGGGTGGTCAGTCAGGTGGGATATCTTGGGAAGCAGGATCCGTCTGAGCTGCGAGAGCTGGTGCCAACTCTTATTGATCGGAGGATCAACCTTAGGTGAGTGTTGTGCGAGATAGTGGAAACGGGAGAATTTTACTGACCTGCAAAGGGGCATTAATGCGGGCTCGAAGATTGATATGGAGGACTTTTGTGAGGCACTGTCGGCTTCGCAGACGCAGCTCGATGACCTTATTGATAAGGTGTTTCCGTTTGAGCAAGCCGAAGAGGCTGTTGAGTATGTTTGGCAGGGTAGGCAGGTTGGGAAGGTTGTGTTGCGTCTGTAGCTAGATGTCTATATATGTCGCATGATGAAGAAAGATACAGTGAGTTATTATCCGAACAAATATGATAGAGCTCTTTCAACTAGCAGTATCATATCATTTTGGTCTATATAGTAGTCATGACAAATCATCACATCTTTAATCATAAAGTCTCAACAACAAACTGCCTCCTTGCCAACTCTTCAGCCTAACATCAATCATAGCGACAATCAATAAGGATTCGTAGCATTCCACACCTCAAACCCCACCCCCGGATTCAAAATCAACGTTGGGTTCAAAACCCCCGGATCCCTCTCATACAGCTCCCTCTCATCCAGCTCCCCATCCCAACAATACTTCTCAAAGCACCGCTCACACTGCCTGGTCCTCTCCATCCCTACTCTCTTCAAACTCCTCTCCACAGCCGCACACCCGATACACTCCGCCCACTCCCCGTCCCACGACCCATTCGCCTGCGTCACAATGTCGAAACTATTGACGAAGATGTCCTTCATCTGCTCGCGACTCGTCGCCGTCTGCCAGAACGAGAAGTTCGTGTATGCGCTATACGGCGCATTGGCCATGTACAGCACAACCGGGGAACGGTCGTCGCCTGTGGTAGTGAGGTTCGCGTCGCAGCCGAAGAATTGCGGGTGAAGGGTGTAGTTCAGGTTCATCATGGTCTTGGAGGATGGAATTACGGGGAATGGTAGTCCTGTTGCGTTGGCGGCGAGGTACGTGTTGTAGAGGTTTGTGCCATTGTTCCAGGAGTATGGGTCTGCGTCTTGGGAGTCGTCCCAGGCTATTATGAAGTCGGCATTGCGTGCAGGCTGGATCTGACCCCAAAGCGGGATCGTTTGGCCTGTTTCGCTGCCGTCGACGAGTTTGAGGGTTGGGGATGTGTGGGCGTTGCCGGTGGAGAGGGGGAGGTTGGTGAATGGGTTGGGGAATGTTGAGTAGGCAACTTCTGTTAGGTTTAGATCGAAGGCGTCGGCAAACGCTTCGACGAGTCCGTTCAGGTTGGCGGGTTTGCTGAGTCGTTTGGCGAGAGAGGACTTATGGGTGGTGGAACGTTTGGCAAATTGGCCGAGGGTTCCGTTGGAGACGCTTTCGAGATACCAGAAGTTGAAGGCGCCGGCGGAAGTGCCGATGACCAGTCTAGGATGAGGTTAGAAGCGTGCAAGACGAAAGACTCTGAGTTACTTACGAGGACCGATCAAACCCTTTCCAGCATGTACTTGAATTTACTGGGTTTCCGTTGGACAGCTGGTTTCCGAGCCACTCAGTGGGTGTAAATGCATGCACATCTCCTTCCCAAGCGCCGAATTCGAAAGGAGTCAAGTCAAACTAACCGAATTAGCTTGGAGCTGGTCGTTTATTTAGAAGGAGCGCTACTTACAATCGTCCCATTAGATGGCGGCACCAAAAGGTCGTAGTACTCAGCATCTTCCGGTTCAACTGAAGCAAGGTGGATAATAGGCATCGGCATTTGGTGATTGATAAAGTTGCTCAGATTGCGGATTCCCGAAAACGTGGTGTTGAGGCCCCCGGATTGTCCGGGTATGAACTCATACGCAAATCCCCGCCCCAGATAATCGCTTATACCTATCTCGAAGCCAGCCATGTGCTTTGCAGCAATCTGTTCGAACATAACAACTTCGGTGGCAGCTTCAGCAGAGGTGTTTGTGACTGTGAGGAAACGGTCAATCTCCGGTTTCCAGTAATCGACAATCTCGTCTGCAGTAGGAAAGTTGTAGGATGGGAAGGACACTGCCGGCCAGGATCCTCCGGACAGACCGGACAAATAGGTCATGCTTTGCAAAAGTCCGCCTGTACGTTGCTCGTTGGCTGCAGGAAGACGGTCATCCAAAGCGCGGATTAGACCTGCCCCGGTGAAGGCGGACCCGAAACCCCCGCCGCTGATGGCCATTCCCATAATTGGGGTCTGGTTTGTGTAGTTGAGACGCGAGATGTATTCATCTGTGTCAAAGTCGTCCAGGTTGAGTCGTTCCAGATATGCGTCTAGTGAGCCCAGGACGACTTTCTTGCGCCCTTCGACCCATTCCAATTCATCTCTGCTGAGTCCAACTGCCGGTCGAATCCATTGTAAACTTGTTGGGCAGGAGACAGGATCTGGCGCATAACCTTGGGGAAGTTCCAAGGCAGAGGCAAGAGTGGCAGCAGCTGCTGAGATTAGAAGCGGTAGCATTGCAACGGTGGTTCTGAGACTGAAAGAAGATTAAGATCGTTGCTAAAGTTGTAGTTTCAGACTTGAAGGTACAGACCATTATATGCACATAAAAATGTGCGTTCAACATACTGGATACCATATTCAGATCGAGGTGTTGTTGCCTGTATAGCATATAGCATTCAGTGCCACCCATTCAAACTCGCTGTGATCGGTCCCCCGCAAGGCCTTCCTAAACAAGTATGCAGTACTCCGTAGCAGTACGTCATATTCAGCCCTAGATTAGTATTAGTATGAATGGCAGTAACGTCCCAGCGCAGCTGAAGCCCTTAAACAGGGAAGCAAAAAGAAGTATCTGCTGCGCATATTGCGGACAGTTCACCAGCCACGGGTTTCCGGAGTCTGCGATTCGTTGTCTCGTATCCACAGTGAAGGTGCCACGATCAACTAAATCCACTTGGGCTGAGCAGATCTGCATAGCTAGTGGTCTAACCGCCTCGATCAATGAATAGGAATTGAGGCAGTTCACAGCCTTACCCATGGTAACGGCAAACCATACTCCTTCGGGTGCCATCGAGAGCTTCGATCGACATGTCACATATTATTGTCTAAGCACAGTTGTGAACAGGACGTTCCATTGGTCTGGAACTGCGCCTCCAGGGCATTATATACTTATCCGCGGTCAATCGGAAGGATCATGAGTTGGCACGGACCTGTCAGAAGCTTGGAAGGTGGAGCGTCACGGATGGCTGCGGGAATCACAATCCTGCTGCCTACAGGGCACCAACAAGCATCATTGCTGTAGGGTTAGACTTTGGGCATGACATCATCCTCGAGTCCAAGAAGGGTATCTTTTGCGACTGTTCCTGTATCGATGCCCTAGGAGCACAGCCTCATTTGCGACCGTGCAGAAGGATAACGTGACTTGCTCGTCGAAAACAGGGAAGAACTGCGAAAGTGGGATCAATCCCAAACATCATCATTACTATCATATTCATGCTTTGCTTTTGTCATACTAAACATATTATACAAACACACTCGGCATCTCAAGCATCTAGCAAATTCTTTCCCCGCAGTCTCTCGCCATACTTGATGAAGATCAAGGGCATCAACGAGAACACCAAAACAATCAGCGCCAAAAGTGTTCCGCCCCAGTTATATCCAAGGTGCTTGAACAATGGCGGTCCTGCGAGGGGCAGGAATGCGGCGCAGGCATTTCTGGGAACCAGCATTGCGCTGGTAGCACTCGCGGCGTAGATGCCGAAGAGGTCCACGACGTAAGTTTGCAAGGTGATGGTGGTAGACACCAGCCCAAACCCGATGATGCCCGTGCCAATAATTGGCGCAATCCATTGGACATGGTACTGCGCAGTCCAGCCAAAAAGGAAAAGGCCGCCTGACATGATGAAGCATGCGATCAGGACAGGGGGCAGGCGCTGCTCTGGCTTGGAAGTGCCGGACCGCGCCCGGGCTGTGCGCACATAGCGGTCTAGCAGGAAGCTGCACAGGAAGGCCCCGAGAATGAGCCCAAGACACAGTCCTAGGAAGGCTAGACCGGATGCTCCCTCGGAGAAGCCGTACACATCCTGGAACAGTGTTGCGATGGTTGTCATCACCAGGTAGGTGTAACCATAGACCACGCTGAGATACAAGGTAACAAGTATTAGCATGGGAGACCGGATGAGCAGACGGAGTGGCCGGAGGATAGTCTTAAAAAATACGTGGCTGGCCGTCTTTTCTGTATCTTCCGGGCTTTCAGTGCCACTTTCGAGGCCCTGCTGTTTGGCTTTGCGTTTTTGGAGAGTGACGCTGTACGTTTCACGGTACACGACAAGAATGAGCAGGGACAGAGTCCCGGTCGCAATAGTCGGTAACCAGAATGCCCATCGCCATCCGGCCTTTTCACCCAGATAGGAACCGATGATAGGACCTACGACTGGTCCCAATGCACCGGTCAAGGACATAATAGACATGGCACGTCCGCGATTTTCCTCGGGAAAGAGATCGCTGACGATACCAGGACCGATGGCTGATGCTGCGGTCGCCGCACCACTCAGGAACCGGAAGGCAATCAGCATCTGAATACTGGTACTGGCAGCAGTTCCAGCCAAAAAGGCCACAAAGAAGAGATTGGCAATATTCAGAGGCCATTGTCGGCCATACAATTCAGAGAGCGGTCCCCATAGCAATGGCGCTATGATTTCTCCGAGTTCCCAGATGGATACAATGAGGGTGCGGTAGAGGGCATTGTCGGAATGGAAATGAGACAGAATGGACGGGGAGACAGGAGCTGCTATGATGGTGGACAACTGACTTTCCCGGGCGCAACTGTCAGACACCTTGACATTGAGTTTATTTATGGGGGTTTAAGCTTACACCATGGTTGATAATCCCGCGACAAGGACGACGGTGATCCACTTGTACGTGGTGGAGCGGGTTTGGGGGTCAAAAGGATCATAATCGGCCGAGTCCACGGGGCTCGTCGAATGGACGGTGACCTCGGTTTCTTTGCAATGGCCATCTTCCTCATCCATTCTGGACTGGTTTAGTAACCGTCAATGAGAAGGTAGGGAGAATGATGCAAAAGTTAATGGATTGGCAAGAAAGACGGAAGATGAAAGGGAGGAGCCAATGTGTGTTAAAAAAAAAAAAAGAGGAACGGGATGAAAGGAATGGAGGGGAAGATCGGACGAGCAAAGGGTTTGCGCTCAGACCGAGGCTGATCAGGCTTGATGCTCCTTTGACAGTAAGCAGATAAGCAGATAAAGTACTTTGTCCACTCAGACCAGGCTAATGGACTAACAGAAAACAGAAGGTGGTACTGTTTGGCCCCCAGTGGGTTTGCAGGGGGGCTTGCAGATTTACTGGCCACTAAACGTTGCTACTTTCTTAATTGCATTGAAGCTAAATAAGCTAAATTAGGTGCTGACTAGGGTTTTCTGCGCTAAAAGTCCCTTTTCTCCTCCTCTCGGCTGCCCTTCTTGGCTAGTTTCTCACCATCTCCCCCAGCCGAACCAAATCAGCCTCGCCCTTGTCTATTCCGAAAAAGGATCGGCATAATGCCCGTGTTCCTCGAAATATTTGCTCATTGTCGGGTAGTGCGCACTATCCGCAGGACAGAAGGCGTAGCGCTCAATGCTATGGACGATCGGCTTGTAGTCGGTCAGTCGCTTGTAGCAGGCATTGCGTTCCGGTGCCTTCGACCAGGCTACCAGCTTATCAAAGTCCTTGCATTGCATCAATTGGCCTTCTCCACCACCATTCAGCAGCTGAAGAGATGGCATTGGGGTATCATCGGCCTTGCACATCAGATCCTGTCGCAGGGAATCGAGGCAGTGTTCGATATGAGGAGCGGGGATCGAGCTCTCTTGTCCGGACCAGAGTTCATGGTAAGAGTGGCGCATAAGTTTCTAGTAGAGAAAAGTAGAATGTCAGCGTCTACCCCGAGTATGAAATGTTGCGACGGTTACTCACCAGACAGTGGAGTTGATGGAACACCTTAATGAAGTAGATCCTCCGGTTCGGATCCCAAGGGAAAGCCCAAGAGTCCGACAGACCCTTGCTCTGAGCCCATTCCCAGGTGGGAGCAATAACCATAGGGTCCATGCTCAGGTTCTCCCACATCTCATCCGCATGGGTCTTGTTCTCGCTAGTATACTCGGAGTGGTGGGAGTAAGGCAGGTGAGTATCCCATGCCAGACCGGCTGGTCATAGGAAGTAATGTTAGAGATGAAACTTCATGTTGAAGCTTGTGAGATAAGGACGTACTGTAAGGAGACCGCTGCTTAGCCATGGCCGCATCAGGATCCAAGTCCTGAATAGGGACATTGTGACCCTTCTGGAACACAAACCATCCCACGTTCAGTGAGAGCGAAAACAACAGTCCCAAGAGCAGCAAAGCGTTCGTCCAGCTGGGGAATCTGGAGACTCTGGGCTGAGGTGCGACTCTCTCCGAGTCCTCAGCCAAAAGCCCCTGGTCACTGTCGTCGTCACGGTTGACTTTCTCGTAGGAATACATTGTGAGAGGGGGGGATGAGCATGGAGGGGTTTGACAGCCGGAGGGGCGTCGGGGGTCAACGCAATGCTCAGATTTTAAACACCGAGCCTTTGTCACATTTGTCACATTTCTGATGGAACGTCGGCTCCGGAACACATCATGCGATGCCGGCAATGGGGCTGTCGGCGATGTGGGTTCACTTTGCATGAAAGAGCTCAGACTAATGCAAGGCTGGTCAGCACGGCACACCGGTTGATAGTAGCGTCGCAAACAGGTAATCTTTCGCTATCTGAGGCTCCACTATGTGACGGCCTGCTTCTATCCCACCGGATCAATTGTCTTCGGACCTTGCCGGTCCTCCGCCGCTGGTTCCTATGTAATCCCCTCAAATCCCCCCTCGCTCCTCGTTCATTCAGCAGCAAACCCTCAAGTCTTCCAGTCTCACACTTCTAGTCCTCCTACCACAAAAGGTATGCTCACCTCAAGCTGGCGGACACCATTCTGCAGTGTCCCTCTGGTTAACATAGCTCTGTGACAGACTCCTGCCTCCACTTCGAGACCAACCATCTCAAAACATCCACATCTCACAAAATGCGTGTCGCTACTCTCGTCCTCGTCGCCTTCTCGGCTGTGGCTCTTGCCCTCCCTACCACCAACAACGTTGAGCGTGCGGCTGCTGACGCCAACGTCCGTCAGATGGATGAGCTGACCGTTGCCGCCATCAGCAAGTAAACGGTTAAGCGGGATATTACAAAGAATAAATGATACAATAGAAAGATTTATGTATTTAGTTGTGAAATTCAAGTTAATTAACTAAGTATCTTTTGTCGATTCCGGTCTCATTAATTCTATATCACTGTCCGAACACTTGGTCGCATTGTATGCCGACTGCACCGTAGGATGTTTGAGCTCCGTCGGCTTGAACATACCACTAGGGAACGACTCCAGAAATTCTCGAAGGTATGGCACACAGGCAGATAGGATAGCAACTGTTTGAAGCACTTGACTGCAAATCGCCCATTGCCAGACATTGGTCGGTAGAGGAGAGTCGGCGTGAAGCTTGAAATTACGGACGTAGCATAGCTGTACAATGCTGCCCGCGATATCCCTAGAAAAGAGGTCAGAAGTGTCGAAGTCTCGGTAAATTATTGCGACATACAGGATTCGGATACCGAAGCAGCTTATCACCACCAGACGCCTTTTCAGACTCAGTTGCAGGCGGAAGATGATGAAGGACGGAACTGCGATGATCATAATCTCGACCAAGACGTTCATGACTCCGAATGCTATCCAAATCCCGGACTTGTAGATGTTAGCAATGTTTTCTCAGCTGGACTAGCATATCGCAATTTACTTACCAGGTCAAGACACTTTCCGCCGACGATATTCCAAACTTCGGGTGGATGGCATTGTAGGCATACCACGATGGCCATCACCACAACCCATATCAGAAGTAGACCTGTCGCTGCCAGGACAGACTTCGACTGGCCTGTCGACGAGAGCAGACTGTAGAAGAGAACCATGACAGACAGCTTTCCCAGTCCCAGCGTCAAAACATACAGCACCTCCATGGAATAGAGGGCCTTCTGCATGACGACCACCTGGCCATCTGAGAGAGGGGATTCTTGTCCCAAGCCATGAGTAGCAGCGACGGATACAGCTGCCCCGGAGGCAATCGATGCGATCTACTGACAGTCAGTTTTACTATACAGATGGCATGAAGAAAACATTATATCTGAGAGAGCTAGCTAACCAAAGTGCTCAAAAGGAGCGCCACACTAGACACCTTCCTCCTCAGAACCTGCCAGTTTGTCGTCAAACAGGCTACGACAGCGATGAAGGAGACGATGAGGAGGAAGCATGTCACGACCTTGACTGCTGCAGAATGGTCTGTCATGACTTTCAGGCGTGAAACAAAATAACCTTCATGGTACCGAATCGGATTCCAAGGCACAGGTAGTGAAGGATTTTGGCTGGCTACGAAACTGATCGTGATTGAACGATTTTAGGCATATAAGGTAAATAAGACCGCTGGCTGAAGAGAAGGCAGATCCTACTTGTGAGCAGTGCGTGAACAGCCCCATACACAGCCCAGCAAGCAAACATGCTCTGCACGAGCGGAGATGGAGCACGGGTCGCACTGGAGACACACAGGAGCGACAGGATACGCTGGATAAGACTGGATCCCACTGGGGCTGGCGCGTGCCGCCCGGAAAGTTTAGTCGGGGAGGCCCGATGATCGCCAAGGCCGTCGGCCTATAAGCGTCGCACTATGGCTCTGCGCCCCTCCGCCTGGATTCTCTAGCGGCCGCCCTCTCTGCACACTGCAGGAATATCTAACCCTAATGGGAAATTCCAGTCAATACATGTGAGACGGTTGGCTGTCTCGGTCTTACTGCTTATGGCCAAGACTGCTTGAGTAGCCGAGCTGCCTTGGCTAATATGCTTCTTGGTTTTGTGCTGTGTTGGTGGTCGTGGTACGTAGTGGTGGTGGGTGGGCTTTCCCGGCCAACCCGAACAAGATGGACAGCTAATAGACTAGGGCTGACGTTGGATGGTCCCATTGTTGTGGTGGTGGTAGACTGGTGGTGCACACCCTCCCCTCCCTGTCTACTTCTCCACTTTCCAACTCCACCCCCCCCTGCTTGCCAGCCTTCATTCCTTTCTCTCTTCCTTCCGGAGTCGCTTGGGCGCGTTCCAATTCCAATTTACGCCCATATGAGACACGCGGCAGCCAAGATCGTCTAATTTAGTAGTAGTTGAACATTTCTCGATAGGCTAGATTACTAGACTAGAACACTGGGGGTGCAATTTCGTTTCCTCACACTCAGCCATCCTTCAGATCGAAATAACGGCCCCCAACTTGCAATGCATCTGGCCCCCAATCATCGCACGATAGTTTCTGCAGCCGATAACGCAGAAGGGACCCTTTGCTTCTTCGGGTAATCCGGCCGATAATTGGTCTAATAGCAGGACTGTGTGTGGCAATCCTGCAGGGTTTACCGTCTACGTTGGATTTTATCCGGCCGCGCTTGCATAAAATGACTCCAAATCAGTTTCTTAAAATCCATGCCTTCGAGATCACACCTTTCTCTTACTTGTCTAGTTGCCTGCGTCTTGGACTGGTCGTGACGAGTTCCCAAAATGGCCAGGAACAGCGATGTTGAACATTCGATCGAGCTGCGTGCTCCAACGAACCGGGATTCTGGCACGCCGAGCAAGGCTACCTTTAGTAACGATGCTTACGAGCTGGCCAGGGTCGGGAAGAAGGAGGTGTTGAAGGTAACCAACACACACGTTATCCCCGAGAGTCTACTACCATCAGCCGCTGAGATCTACCCTTGCTAGCGACGATTTGGTCTAACGAGTACTGTCGGGTTTGCCTGCAGCTTGATGCTGACTTGGGAAGCGGTTATAATGTATGCGATATTTTTTTTTTTTCAATATTCTTTTTTTTTCTCTCTCTTCTACCCCTCTTTTTGTTTCCCCACTCCCCCTTGCTTTTTATCCCGTCAGAACTCTACATGCTAATAGGATATTTAGGAACATTGGCTTGGGACTCACCAAGTAAGGCCTACCACGGAATGATCTTATCACCCTTGAAGAAAACTGTTTGTTAACCCTCGTGCAGTGGTGGTCCCGCCGGTTTGGTGTATGGCTTTCTTGGGGTCTGGGCGGGCATCATTTCCGTGTTCATTTCGATGGGGGAGCTAGCAAGCATGATGCCGTCGGTATGTGTCCGACACTTCCTGCAGCTGAGAATGAGCCTAATTTCTCACCACAGGCGGGCGGACAATATCATTGGGTGAGCATCTTGGCCCCCAGGTCGGCCAGGAAGTTTCTCAGTCATGTCACTGGTATGTGTGCGACTCCATGTGCCGAGTATGCGAACCGCGGTCCGAATTAGCTAACGCAAGGAAACAATCCAGGCTCGGTCTGCATTATTGCGTGGACAGCGGCCCCCACAGCCGCCATCTACCTGGCCGCCAGTGTGCTGCAGAGCACCATTGCCATGAACATCCCCAGCTATGATCCCAAAGGATGGCACATCACGCTGATCATGTGGGCGATTCTGCTCATCTGCACAGTTCTCAATACTTGGCTGGGGATGATCTTGCCGGTCATTGAAGTGCTTATCCTTCTTGTCCATGTGCTTGGCTTCTTCGCCGTCTTGGTTCCGCTCGTCTATCTGGGGCCCAAGGCTGATCCGCGATCGATCTTTACTGTATCCTTCGATTATGGCGGCTGGGGTGATCTGACCTTGGCTACCTTTATCGGGTTAAAAGGCACTGTGGCTGCGTTTGTTGGTAAGGCAGACTTTTCGCGTCTAATCAACTTCAACATGATATACTGACTCGGGTTTTGTGTTCACTAGGCACTGATGGCGCGGTTCATGTAAGTGCTTCCTTCTCGGTGTTTAGCCGCTGTTTGAGTCAGTTGCCAAACTAACCCCTTACAGATGGCCGAGGAAGTCGCCAACAGCAGTCGGGTGGTCCCCCGTTCTATGCTGCTAGCCCTCATGATCAACGGCGCAACTGGCTTTGCCATTCTGATTGCCTTCCTCTTCACTGCTGGAGACCTGTTGAAGATTGTGGAATCCAGTGCCTCGTATCCCTTCATGTACATGCTGGCGAGCTCGACGGGCAGTAAGGGTGCTGCGGTTGTTCTCTCCAGTATGATGGCTATTCTGCAAGCGTGTGCAGGACTCGCGGGTATCTCTTCCGGCAGTCGTATGCTGTGGTCATTCTCCCGCGAGCAGGCCATTCCCGGCTGGCGCTGGGTGCGACAGGTAAGTGATGGGCCTAGCCTCTATTCGCCCTCAGGTTGTTTTGTCAGGGATATTCTAATTGCGATTGCTCCTATCTACAGGTGAACCAACGGACTCTAGTGCCCTTCCACAGCACGTTGGTGGTGGTTATCGCGGCCGGTCTGCTCAGCCTGATTAACATCGGGTCGGCAGTGGTGCTGAACATCATTCTGTCGCTGGTGTTGGAGGCCTTCTTTGCCTCGTACATGATATCTCTAACCCTCCTGCTCTATCGTAGATTGCGCGGCGACCTCACCGAGCCGGGTCAAGGCGGCGGTGTCCTCAACTGGGGGCCCTTCCGAGTCAAAGGGTGGTTGGGCACGGCAAATAACATCTTTGCCATTGCCTACTCCATCATCATGATGTTCTTCGGGTGCTGGCCACCGGAGAACCACCCTGCTCCCAAGAACATTAACTACAGCATTGTCATTTTCGCGGGAGTTACCCTAATCAGTATCGTCTACTACGTGGGATGGGCGCGGAAGCACTACAAGGGCCCGCTAGCCGAGATTTAGTTGGATGCTTTTGACTAACTAACAGCTCGGGAAATGGCGCATTTTTCCACTTGATTCAGGGACTTTTCCCCTACTTACCAGTGGTGTCGCCCTAAAATAGTCTACCTTATACCATAGTACTACTTTTTTAATTTAAAAGAGGGATTCATTTAGTCCGTCCGTGACAGGGTAACATCGGCTTCCGGCTACTAAATTAGTTCATTAGTTGAGAGATAATTTAGTGAGGATAACTAATCTAACTAATCTATTTTCCATTCACTACTCTATTAGTCAAGTCAGATACTTTTTCTCTCTTTCTCTTGTTGTTTCCCCTCATCCCGCGCGCGCCCCCTCAATTTCCCCGTTTCAATCAATCATCCATCCATCATTCAATCCTTTCCCAAGAGTCCAGCCAGCCAGCCCAGCCCATCATGACCAAGTCGCAGTTCGAAGTCCGGGAAATCCACACCAAAGAGGAATATGCCCGTCTAGTCGACGTTCTCTGGTCGGCCAACTTCAACCCTTACAAGTAAGTGAGCGCGCAATTTACCACCACACATTCCTTTGCTTCCTTCTTCCTTCATTAATCTCCTCCCCCAATCCTCCCTCCTATCCTCCCATCCCCGTACAGTAGAGTTTCAAACTAATCTCGCCGGTCGCACCACCACCACCACCAACAGCCCAGTATTCACCGCCGTTCACCCTGTAAGCGGCCACACCGCAGAAGACCGCGTAAAAGACAAAGCCCTCGACACGGAAATCCGCTGGGCCGCTCACGAGAAGAATCCTGCCTCCCATCTCATCTATGTGATTGATACCGAAACCGGTCGCGTCGCCGGCGGCTGCGAATGGCTCATCTTTCACAAGAACCCCTTTCCCAATGGCCCTCAACCGCTGTCGTGTACTTGGTACCCGGAGGGTTCGGAACGCGCGGAATATGCTAGTCGCATGCTCAGTCAGGCTTTCTTTCCGAGACAGTGTTGGTTGCAGAGGCCTCATGCTGGTATGTCCTCCACTCTTTATTTCCATCTATTTTATTTTACTTGAAGAGAGCTAACTGATGACTGAATAGGCGTAAATGCCATGGGCGTCCACCCCGATTACCGCCGTCGAGGCGTAGGACGACTCCTCATGCAATGGGGCCACGAGAGGATCGATCCCCTAGGATACGAGAGCTGGATCGAGGGCAGTCCCATCGGTCGCTGGTTGTATGAAGAGAGCGGATACAAGCGCGTCATCAGTCTAAACATCGACTTTGCGAAGAAGAATCCCAGTGATGAGTGGAACAGGCTGGTGCATGAATGTCAACCGCCCGCGATTCTCTTGCTTTGGCGCCCTCCGCGCGGTGAGTGGAATGATAAGGTGCCCCCGGGTCCGTGGGCGGTTACCGAGGATACCTGGAAATAGGTTCGTCGGTTCGTCAAGAGTGTTGCGATCTTAGATGTAGAAATAGATGAGACGATGTTGATGATTGACATGATGATGGAATAAAGACTTCTTTCTACTCACTGTGTTTCTTGTTCACTGATACTCGGGGAAACTTGATGCGGAGACGCCGTTTCCCCTCACGCATTTAGGTTTCGCGTCCAACTCTTTTCTGTGTCCAGACCAGCCTTCATGCGGTCATAGTGCACGCCTTAATGCCAAAGCCTGCTGAAGCTGGGTGTAACGATATGCTTATATTTTTCGTGTTCTTTCATTGGCCGTGTGATGCCTTTTGGATGGCAATTGACATACAAAGATTCCTTTACGAAGAGCTGACTCTCATCGTGTAACAGCCATCCACGTCTCTCTGGTCGGTTATTCCGCAAGCGGACGAGGTCTAAGTATCATCAATACCATCTTGCCCTTCAGGCCACCCGTAGCTGCAAGTATATCAATCACCTGTTGCAAGAGGCATATAATCTCCACCTTCTACTGTGTCTACAAGTCACCTCATACCTCACATGAACAACATGAAGGCAGAAGAAACTTTCGACTTCATCATAGTCGGGGCAGGTGTCGCAGGTAATCCCCCAATCACAATATCTCCCCCGCATACTGATAAGCAACAGGCTGCGTGGTAGCGAGTCGAATCTCACAAAGCCGTCCTGATCTGCGCATCCTGCTCATTGAGGCCGGCGTCGAGAACGATGATCGGACATCCGGCGCAATGGGCTTCGTGGCAGGATTCGGCTCGGATATCGAATGGCCCCATCGCTCGGTGCCGCAGGAGCGCGCTTTTGGAGGTGATACGGTGTGTCTAACCTCTGGCAAGCTTGTCGGGGGAGGGTCCGGGGTAAATTATCAGGTGTTTACGCGCGGGCCGGCTGTTGATTAGTGAGATTCCATACTATTGATGGTGATATGGTTACGAAAATTGTTGCTGATGTGACTCTGTTGGTGTAGTGACCAATGGGCAGATCTTGTTCGAGACCGGAGATGGTCGTGGAATGGTCTTTTGCCGTATTTCAAGAGGGTCGAGACGTGGTATCCTTCTGTGGAGATGAAGGAGAGGGGTTGTGTCACGATTGATTCTCATGGAGATCGTGGACCGATTAAGGTAGCTATCGCACCCGCCCACTGCATGAGGTACTTGTTGATATTGTATAGGTCAGCCATGCGACAAATAGTGGCAAGCCACGCAATTACCCGTTGCGGGAGAAGAGCCGTAGGTTTCACGAATTGCTCGGTCGCAAACAGGTGGATGATATGAATAGTGGACAGCAACTGGGGTACTCGGAGGCTTTCAGTTCCACCTATGCGGGATTGAGAAGCTTTGCGAGTAGCTACCCTTTGGGAGTTAACGTCACCGTCTGGACGAATTCAACTGTGGAAAGGCTCATCATGACTGGGAGGACTGCGGAAGGCGCCGTTATTGCGCGATCAGTAGGAGATAAGATTGAGCGTGTGCATGTCAGGGCTCGGAAAGAGGTGATCCTCTCAGCAGGGGCATATGGATCACCCAAAATCCTTCTTCTTAGGTGGGTTAGAACTTACTGCTTCTGGGAGTAGTAAAACCTAATAACAGTGACAGCGGCATCGGCCCAGCAGAAGAGTTGCAGCGACATAACATCACTCCAGTCGTAGACCTCCCCGTGGGGAAAAATTATGCTGACCATCCTCACATATTCACCTACTGGACGATTGACCAGCACAGTGCTACCCTAGGTGACGGGGAGATGGAAACCGATCAAGTCCATTGGCTAGCAGGCTTGCCATACGACTGGATGTCTTTTGCACCTGCTGATGCAAAGACACAAGAGCTGGCCAAACAAATTCTGAGCTCAGCCGAGCGCAGTCGGTATTTGGCTGAGGGGAAGATGCAACTCGAAAACTTTATCGTGTACGCGATTCCTCAAAACGCGCCGATGAGAAAGCACTGCTAATCAAATCAGTTACACCGCCGTCGACACGTCCGCTCGCAAGAAACCCCTCGAATGCTGGCCCGGGAAGCGCGTCATCAGCCTCATGCACGTTCTTGTCGACTCAGTATCACGGGGTACTCTCACGCTGCGATCATCTGACCCTGCTGACGCCCCCGTGCTGGACCCCAGACTCCTTGCATCCCCGATTGACCGATCGGCGATGTACGAGAATGTGCGGGAGACTGCGCGTGCCATACAGGCCGTCGAGGGTCTCAATGCTGTCGAGTTTGGCGTCGACGATTCCCTCCGTGATAATTGGTCCGATGAGGCGATCGATATCCGGGCGAACCGGAGTGGTGGTAGTTGCTTTCACTACTCGGGGACTTGTGCGATGGGGGGAGTTGTCGACACTGAGTGTCGGGTGTATCAGGTTGAGCGATTGAGGGTTGTCGACTCTGGTGTAATCCCACTACCGTTGGCGGCGCATTATCAGGCGCCTACGTATGGTGTTGCTGAACAGGTAGGTATTGGAGCATGAGGGCATGGTGCTGTTGCTAATATGTGCATTGTAGGCTGCTGACATGATTCTTTCCTCGGTGGATTGACCAGCTGGATCTCTCACCATTATCAAGAACTAGCATTGAAAATAGAAGATACATGATGATTGGATAATGCGGTTATGTACGATGCTCGATGCAGGCCATTGTTCCCATAACGTGCCATAAAGTTGCGATGCCATGGCGGGTATGATGAGGGCGGAGCCGGAAGCCATGTCCACTTTGATGGAAACCTATGAATCAGATCCTACCGAAAGCGGGGGGAAGAAAATAGTTAGTAGTATAGCCAATAAAAAGAAATGATGCCGTCACTCACTCCTGGTAGGCGGGGGGGATGAATGCAAAAAGAAAAAAGAACGACCGAGACGTGACTCGAACACGCAACCACTGCCACATCCACTACCGGAAGGCAGCGCGCTACCATTGCGCCACCCGGCCGTACTTGATATTTGTCGGAAACACTTTCGCCTTATATCTGGAAAGTATACCTTGTTGCACAAGAGCTTTCTTTACGGACCGGCCAGGTCAACAGGCGGCGAATCTGGGTGTCAAACTTATATTTCTCATACGAGCTCGCTTATATGACCTGTATGAAGCATGTATAATGTGCTATCTAATTTTTTAGCCTTTATTCCCGCGGACGAATATGCTCACGGTTCCCCCATCTGGACCAGGCAAGATATATATTCTTTATCCAGTATAGCGTGCAACATATTTTGGATTGCAGACTGGCGATCCAACTGCAAGCTTCATCTTATCTGTCCTGTTGCCGACATTTAGCACTAATAAACTACCATGCAGTGTCACCTCATAGTGTACACAGTGCTATATATGCGATCGAATATACTCTCTTTGCCAAATATCACCACATACTGATCCAAAAACCCAGTGACACAGTAAGCCTAAACGTCAAGTCAATGGGTAAGATCCACTAATCTACCACGTAAGGCTGCTTCAAAAACAAAAAATATGATTATTGGACGGAAGAAAATAAGCGATCAGAAAGCTTAGCAATTAGCGCATCACTAATAAGCCAGTCTACCAAGGTTTCATTGGCCCATTTATCCGTCTAATCCCGACCTTGTCCATGCTTAGAAGAGGCTGGAATCGGAGTCGCTATCCATCCGCCTGACGTGAGATTTGGAGTGGATGTTCAGCTTTCCTTTGTCTGGGTGGAGCAACTAATACCCCATGTCTACGCACTACACGCCACTGCAGCCCACAGAACGTCATTGGCTCGCCGAGCCCCAGTAGGTACACATATAGTGAAACTTAGCAGTGTATGGTGTCCTCAGTGACAGCCTTGTACCCCTCCCTCATCTAGGCTACCATAATGCGCTAGCGATAAACCCATATAATTCACAGCCGCCCCTCCCTATCACCCACAGTCTGACCACCATAACCTCTCCAACCGTACGATTACCTTTTGGCCAAATGGCACCCACCATCCTCTTCGTCCCGGGTTTCTGGGAGGGGCCCAAAGTCTTCACTCCCGTATGCGATCTCCTGCAGGCCGATGGTTTCAAGACGGAAGTCTGCACTTTACCCAGCACGGGCACCACCTCGCCCGGAAACCCGGCTATGACCGAAGATATAGCCGCCGTGCGTGACCATCTGACGAGCATCGTGCACCGCGGAGAAGAGGTCATTCTCGTATTGCATTCGGCCGGTGGGTTTTTAGGCAGCGCTGCCATGAAAGGCCTGAGCAAGTCGGCTGTCGGACAAGGGGGAGTCGTTAAGATTGTCTTCTTGGCTGCGGCGGTTTTCCCGGAAGGTCATGAACACGAGGATTTGCCATTTGCTGTTGTTGAGGTTGGTTATCCCGCCTATTTATGTTCTCGTCCCCTATTGTGAAGATATCTGGTTGACGTGTGGTTTGACAGGGAGGTGCGATGTACTGCGTCAATCCTGAGGTGCTGCTTCTCAACGACATTACTGAGCCAGAGAAGACAAAGTGGCTGGCTATGCTTGCCCCCCAACCGGCTGATGATTGGAATGGCAGGGTGCCCTACGCTGGGTGGAGGGATGTGCCCAGCGTGTACCTTGTCTGTGAGGGTGATAATGCTCTTCCAGCGGACCTCCAAGAGCAACTAGCTAATCTGGCGGGGAGCCAGATCGAGCGGTGCAGTGCTGGCCACATGCCTCAGCTCAGTCAGCCATCGCGGGTGGCAGAGGTTATACGTGCAGCAGCAGCAATCATTTGATGGGAGCGAAAATTAGAACATGAGTGTGATCAAGAATAAGATACATCGAGCAAGATTGAGGTGATGAGGCACTGTATGTCTGAAGCGCAAAATGATGCGGAAAAGAAAGAAATGGTATATGATGTGAACATTAATGAGCAAGTTGGATAGTAGTGTACAGTTATTCAGAATCATCCGACTCAATCCCTCGGCCATTGATGGCGAGTAGCTGGACATCACTGCACGACTGTGAGTCAAGAAAAGCCTTGGTTTGGGGTAAGAACTTACAAAACGAGGGTCGAATTGCCTGGAATAAACGGAGGAGCTCCCCTGGCAAACAAATCAGCGCAAATTTCAAATGATGGCCCATAAAATAAAAATCACCTCTCGCCATATCCAAAGTGACTGTCATACATATGGAATGGTTAGTAGTGGACATGTTGAAAGGAGATAGCCATTGTGAATAAGACATACGGGCCGAATGTAAGATAGGCTCTTTCACCCAGACTCATCCCCAAAATGCCAACATCCCATCCTGAAACTGATCAGCCTAACATTCTGCAGGGGTTGCTGCACTGACGCACCTTTGATCACCTGGCCGACGCCGACCTTGAAAGTAAAAGGAAATCCCCGTTTAATACTGCTGTCGAATCTATAGTGAGACTAATATCAGTATGAAGAATAGCCTAGGCCATGCAAGTAATAATAAAACAAACGGCAAGCCGTGTGTCCCTGACTGTTAGGAACATACCGACGCCCTCGGTTCCTTGACCGTGCCGGGTCGTAAAGATAGCCGTGGTAATGCACTGTTACCATGTCACCCGGCTTGGGATAATCCACGCCATTGCCCGGGCGCAAAATGTCCTTGATGAAATCGATAAACCCCATATTTTTTGGTCAGGTAATCTGGTAAACTCCAGATGGATTGTGGGGAAACAATGGGGTTGTGAACGGGGCACGTCTCCCTGCTAGCAGGTCACATGACCAGTTGAGATTGTGCCGGAACGGAAAAAGTTGATTTGAGCCCTGCAGAAGAAGCTGGGTGGAAGGTATGTCTGCTTCACTGCGGTAGGATAGATAAACTCTGTGGAATGAAATCATACTAGATAGAATAACACAACAGAGCACCTGTTTCAGCTAAGTTTGATACTGATTTCCTTTGACTTTGACTACAAAATAGTAGTTGTAGCATATCAGTGCCTGAGGTATCCATACATTCACAGACAGCTGTGAATCCCCGGTACGGAGTACACTGGAGACAGTGAGTGTATTCACAGCTTCTCACTAGTTGCCCTGAAACGCGTCCCGTCTTTCACCGAGCCAATCATTCACACTACTCTAGCATAATGAGGGTTTTTTGCTATTGGATAAAAATATAACGAGGTTGCACAGCAACTCAATCAAAAGACGGCGCATCCTCCGCTAAATCTCGAGGAGGGAGTTAACCGTTGTTATCCCATTTCCCTGACTGGAATTCGCCACGGAATACAACGGCACTGTCAATTATCATGCATGAAATGTTATTGCCATTCATCGCATTGCGCCTAGAACCAATGGGCAGGGCTCAACGGGCTTGTCACTGTCATGCCGCTAGCGAAAGTCTCCCTTTTATATCCCGATTCCCTCTCCAGGGACCAAGATGTTTCCTTTCTCCTGCAGTATCGGTAGCAAGACACTATACTATCGCATCAAGACATTATCAGAGCAAGTGTTCACTGCAGCAAAGCAGCTCTGAGCAGACAATATGCCTGCCTCACGCCCCAAGCGACAGGACAGACCCAAGCACTCTGAGCTTGATACGAAACGACATGCAATACGCGCCGGCATGGAACGTGGAGAAAGCAACGTCGAAGAGACAAACGAATCAGAGAGGGAGACATGGGCCAAGGCAAATAGACATCTGCTGAATCAAGTGTCCGTTTTTAGCGAAGAAAGTTTGATTGATGAAGTTGATGAAGGCCGGGCTGGACGGTACTCATGTCCGCCACTTATGTCGGCAGATTCGGAGGCCTTTCTAAGCCCCGAAGAGACCACCGCCATGCCTCGTCCCGCCTTCTACAGACAAGTATTGAGTAGGCCTAGTCTTGTCATGCGGCCAATGTATCCATTGACGCCAGACGACAGCCCCGAGGACGAATTGAATCCTAAAGCACACAATGCTTCGAAACAACTCTACCAGTCTTTGGAACAATTTACCACCGGCACTACCAGCTCAAGTTCCGACCTTGCGAGCTCCACCAATTCCAACTCACAGGGGCACATCAAGAGGTGTGCACGGCACCAGAGACGTTCGACTCCGTACTCTCGGCCTAGCCGTGCCCCCCGACCGAGCCGTATTCATTCGCCGAATGCGTGGCTCGGTCGGATGCAGGCTTGCTTGAGCGAGGTTGACATGGAGGTTATCGATCAGCAAACGGACCTTGTTGGGCTCCGTAATTGCGACCTGAGCCATGTCATTGTCAGCCACCGAGAGTACCCCTTCAGGGAGATCAACTTTATCATGCTCGTATGGAAAGATGTTACGGGCCCACTAGACGTCGATTGGCCTGCTTTGCAGGTTCCCCTTAAGAATCGCTTGGCAGCATCGTATCACGAACAGAATGACCATGGAAGCCGAAGGGCCCTCTACGGTGGGATCGTAGTGGGCCAGTTGGCTCAATTTTATGTCTTCGTGGGAGAGGGGCCGGCGCAGTTGAATCTGTCCATTTTCGGGGACAACAAACTGACGCTCAACCTCGAGCACGACCAGCGACTCATTGACGGCCATCTGTCCTGGATAGATAATGAGTTTCCGCCCAAAGTATACAAGGAAATCGAGAACGATCCCAGCATACAGGCAGCTGCCTGTTGCATCGAGGACATTCTTGGGTCCGTTAGCTCGTCTTCAACCGTGTTCGACCCACTGCCCGAGTCTGAAATCGCGCCGATAACCGACTTATCCAGCACATCGGCACCATTGCCTCAGCCCGAGTTCGTGCCGGAAGAGCTGTCATCAACAACTTTCGATGCCGAGAACTCCTTCGAAGACTTCCTTAATGAAGTAACCTGGCAAGTCGAGGAACCCGAGAATGGTCAAGACGAGAAGGACCAAGGCGACAATGATGACGAAAGCGATGGAATTGAAGAAAGCAAGACAGATGAGGTAGCCGACATCATTGATGAGGACACCCTCATCAAAAAAGCCCTGAAGTACGTGGGTGAAGGAGCACTCGACACAGTAGTCGGGTCTGTATGTCTAACAGACGAACTGAACTTTGAAACCGACGACGAGCAGGGACGTTATATCAAGAACGAGCTCTGCTGAAGTGGTTGGAGGTTCTCATGGCCACCACTTGAACCAGGGCATAAGGCTTCGAAAAGTCCACGATATTGTACTGCAAAATTTCGAGAAAATTCGTTGAAGGTAGGTTGAAAATATGACTGTTGCTTACCCATCTAGAAAACCGGATGCCTTCGTAGTACGATTCAGCTAAGAAGACCTTTGGAGTGAGAGATAAGGTAAGAAGAGTACACTGTCAGCTGGGGCTTATGAAGAGTTGAAATAAGGTTGCTAGGTTGCGCACGAACCCATGCATTGACAGGCTGCTACGTAAGATTCATGGGTTATGTATGTTATAATGTGAATGACTGCTGGAGCTTCTGATTGATCATTGGTCCACAGAGCCAATTAAGTGAAAGAAGGCACACAGGACGATTGCTGAAGCATGCGGTCACTAGTTGGAGGCCACATGACACCAAGCCAGATCATTTTTGACCACAGTCCTCGTACATTAGCTCCTCTTGTGTGCCTGTCCATGTAGACCATGTGAAAGTGGCTTCCCTACTCGGTTTCAGAATTTCCTGGGTAGTGTTGAGAATTATTATGGTTAAATATTTCCGATGCATTCCATCCCTTCCCATTGAAGTGCTGGCTATACAGGTGCTTCGCCGCTCAAATAGTATATAGCAGTTTGTAATCCCATAAGAGCCAAATTAGGCTGCGAGTTTCCCTTTGATGAACATGATCATCGCATCTGTATACAATTTGCTGATCGGCACAGAATGACCACCCGGGTGAATGAGCACTTTCTCTTCCTCAGCACCTGCGGTCGCATCAATCAGAGTGCGGCTTCTTTTGTAGTACACAACATCATCAAATTGTCCATTCATATGAAGCATTGGCCCTGAAATTTTGGGGGAATAGAAGGCTTTGTATCGAAGGTTCAATCCAGCGAAACCACAGCAGCTGATCGAGAACTTGATAGGCTCGACTCCATCAAATGACTTAGGGAAGGGAATACCTCCACTCTCGACTTCGGCTTTCTCGAAGGCACTCTTCCTGCCTGGTTCAAGCAGGCTCGTGATGAGCCCGGTTAGAAATCCTCCTTGGGAAAATCCAATCACCCCGGCAAAGGGACCCTGAGTGCGCATGATATTACCAAGCTTTTCCAGTGCATCGGGCAAGCCTGGAAATTCATCGTCATCGCTGACCTTGTAGAACCATCCATAACCTGGGTCGGTTCCCGGTATATAGCGTGCCCAGTCGGTTGGCTTAAGTCTCAAGGTGCCATCAGGGTACACAAGCTCTACACCATCCGGGTATTCCGGATGAAATCCAGGGGCAGGCGCTGCTGGAAAGGCTTCGATAAGGGCCTTCTCCAGGTCAAGTACTTCTTCGCGGAAAAACTCTCCAGACTCAGTATAACCTGTCGAGAGTATTTAAGGTCAGTGGTGATAATGGCATCCGTGCTTAGAGTCAGGATAGTACCATGGATCATAAGAATCTTGAGCTTGGAGGTCGTCATTCTTGTCATCGTAGCGAATGATTTGAGGAGCTTTAGATTCAATTGAAGTTGTATGAAATGGTATTATTTTTCTCTGAGGGTTTATGTTGATGAGGTGATTGACATCGTGGTATTCGGCTTCTTATACATGACTAGATGCGGGGTACTTGCATGTTAGGTGCACACACGTCAACTGACTTCTTGGAAATTGCCCAATGGCGCTGACTAGATTGATATGTGCCATAGCGACATATAATGTGCTCCTGTAATCAAATCCATACCAAAGCGGTTACAACGTGCAATAGATCAGTAGGTGCACTATATCTGTATCTTTTTTGTCTTGAAGACGGTTAATAATAATCAGTACTTTCCATACTCTACCAAGAACCTTTCGAACTTGATCAGATTCCCAATGAACGGAAGCGGTCATTGTAGCCAAGTTCAAATATAAGGCTGTCTAGAACTGACATTTCGTGTTAGTAGTCGCATGTATTACGATCCGCTATGGTCAGGGTAAAGGATTGGGCGCTTATCTTAGATGAGGCAATACGTAGTCCACCTGGCAGATAACTAAGCGGCTTGCAGGGCTATGAACTAATTAGTGCTATATCGCTCCGAAATTGGGTTGCTGCAGCTTAGCGACAGCATGCAACTTATGGATAAGAAGCGTGAGAACCGCTTTGATGTGACTGATAAAAGCACAACTGTGTCCATACTTTGAGTGAGCAAATCCAAGCGTGGTCAAACATTGTACACAACCTGAGGAGCATAGGAAGATGGATGCTTTCTTTTCCCCAAATCAATCGATCCTTTAGGAGACGGTGCAATCAATACTCCTTATCAATTGTCGTTTATCGAAAGCTAGAACTATTGCATTCTATCCAATCACTTGATGCGTACTGATAACGCTCTCCCGCAAAACACGACCCACATCGATAGACCAAGTCGGACTTCAGCCCTATCTTGCTCTGGCCTCTCCATGTGGATCACCCTATGTACTGCTCCTTTGGAACTCGCTCGCAAACGCAAGAGACATGGTAAATTGAATAAGATCAAGGCCTTTCTAACATTTAACCACCTGCACTCCCTTATGTCGCAAATGATTGAATGCAATTGATTAGAGATCGCATAGTAATGACCAATAGAGATCATGTTGTCGCTTCGAGTCATGTGTACAGGTGTAGCAAATTGTCTGGCATTTTGCAAATGAAATTATGAATTTGCGTCAAATGAACAGAGGGCATTGCACGAGAATAGCTCGTTACTTCCATTTATTTCCTCCCTTGTGGGAGAACCCGAGCATCGGGTCCCCATCCAATCCATACAACACATGAGGCACATGCTCGACCCATGCCATACAGACCGCGGGCGGGCGAGCTGAATTTCCCGTGTCCAAGAACAATCAACCGACCTGGCCGTATTTCGATTTTGTCCCGAATTGTTCCTCCAATTGTTCCTCCGGTTTGGCGACGCAGATCTCTGTGACCAGAAGCAAGTCTGTTTCGGACAACGCCGGCGGAGGATTATTAGGGGTTCAAAGTGTGGAAAGCTCGGAAAATTCCGTATTGTAAATATCCAGCACTGTCCGGGTGAGTTAGAAACCCGTTTCGAATAGTGACCCTAGCCGGTCATTGAGTGGTGGGATTAATGCGGCGGGATGGATGTATGATAATGCCTCCTCACGGCCCAAGCCGGCTCAAGGCGGCTGTCGTTTTACATTGGCCCTGTTGTAATTTCTTCTGGAGGGAGTTCGAAAAGCCAGTTTGCGGGCGATCTCCTTGTGGCCTGCATATTGGTTGTACAAGGATCTACCCGAAAGCGTCGATTCTCTTCTGAGGGAGCCGACAGGGCACTCTTCGGATGTGCTTCGCTTAACCACCTGACCGTCTGTCAGGGAGGATGCATACTCCAGTAATGGTGCGCACAACATGCGACTAAGTGTGCCCGGCCGGAAAGGGTTATTCCATTGTCGAGTGAATCAGAAATCCAGGGAGATGCAATCTTGGAAAAGACAATCGAGATTATGGTCTTTCCCATGGAAGAGAAGGCTTGTAATCGACTGGCTATTGTATCCAGTAAGCTTGGGTGTTCCACCCCCATCATCCACTGGCTGAGTGACAGCAAAAACATCCCGGCCGAGTGCCCTCTGTTGATTGATAACCTTGACCACATTTAAGGTCTGATAGATAGGAAACGCCCCCTCTTCGGTTGGTTGCAGATGGATGAGCGTCTGTAACCAGTCTTGGATCTCCAATCCGACTGATAGACTCTGGCATCGGAGAATACCCGCCAAGAGTAAGCCCGAGAACCCGATAGTGTAGCTATTTCTGGTAATGGACGTTTGCATATCGCTCCACTGTGCAATCCGGACTAATGTCTGAACCCAATATTCCTCTTCATTACACTCCCATTCGTGAAGGCCGGATTCGCGGTCATAAAGCAGTCGCAGAACACCCGTGCACTGCATGGCTCGTGCAACTACGTAGTATGCATAGTTCAGCGCGGCATCGTGGGACTGGAAGCGGATTGTAGTGCTGTCTGTGTCGTTGAGCTCGTAAATTGGCTGCTCGGATGGCGGAAGTTGCAACACCCACGCACCCAGCTTTGCCGCTTCTTGGTGCAATAGAGTAGTGCAATATGCATAGCATTCGTCGAAATCGGAACCACTAACGTCGTCTGACCGAGACTTCCGAAACTGCTGCAGTGCGGCACTGAAGTTCAATCGGTGTGATTCACACATGATGCTAAGGACTTTCACACGTCGCTCATGTAGTGTCTGGGGTACGTCTAACAGAGAGGCTGGTAAGGGTATCGATGGAAGATGCTGACAAACTTCTAATGAACTGAAATAGGCTCGAGCCCACCATACAACATAGCGGATTTGCATCCACGAAGCAAGCAGCGACTTGGTGGCTGCGTCTTTGACGTCTTCATGCCATTCAAGAAGATTCATAGTCCCCCGGACGTGAGTGTAAAAGCCCTGGAAATTGCCCATGGCTTGCTCCAGATGAGCGAACAGAACAAGAACAGTTAATATTGTGACTGAGTTCCGTTGGTAGTCTTGTGATTGCATGATGGCCAACTTCTGGATTGCGGACGAGTAGTATAGATGACTCCGTGTCTGGTGGATGAGACTAGGACTCATTGAACACATCGTGCCGGCCGAGGGTGTTCTGCGCTCAGCATGAAGGCGCCCGATATTGCACGAGGATAGGGCCAAAAGGGCGTCGTTGAGGATGGGATGGTCAGTGGCAAATGAAGTAGCAAAATGAAATATCGGGTGCAAGGCTGGTAAGCAAGATCCTTCCCAGTAGGTGGTATAGAAGACATCGCGGTCCGTCATTTGCAATGACTGGATAATGCTATGGCTTCCGATGGAGGGGACATCTTCTGCAGCTCGGACAGCCAATGTCTGGTCTTCAGTCGGTATTGGTCCTGTCTCTTCTGACGATACACTGGATGTTGTTGCGGATGCTAGTTGATTTGATGATGGTTTTGGGTCACCGACTGTCGCGATTTGAAATTTGAAAGCTGGTCTAGCATATTCGCAGATCTTTCCAAGTCGTGCGCAGGTCCCGCATGTGGGCTTTCGCTCATCACACTTGGTTCTGCGGCTGCGGCAACTCCGACAGCCATTGCGGGAGCGGATGATGTTTGTCTTTTTGGGTCTGGGTGGCGCAGGCTTGTACATGTGATAGAATTAGGATGAGGGAGACGTATTAACTTCCACTTATTCAACCTCTGATGTCAGTAGTAGCAGAAACCCATCCAGTCTGTCGGATGGGAGCCGAATGAATGGTGGGGGTTGAGTCACTATTAATGTGATGCACGTGATTGTGTAACCAGTTAAATGTTCACACGCTAAACCGAATCAAGAAATACTTTATCGCCGATCTATTCGGGGCAGAGTAGATAGTATATATTCTTTTATGCTATTCTATTCTATCGACGAAGACTTTAGTGCCTTCTTCTTATCAATCAACTCTCCCCGTTCCTGAACCAAAGCTGAAATAGCCTTCCCAGTCTCTCCTCCCATAGCCGCGAAACCCTTAACCACGCCGTCCCGGTCGCCGGGCCTCATCTCCTGACTCATCTTGTACTTGCCCTCGATCTTGGTTATCTCGATCTTGATTCCTACCACATTCCTCTGCATCACTTCAATGTATCGATCGGGAGCGTCGGCAACCTTCCACGGCTGCGGTCGGTCCCCTCCGGTGAATCCCATGATTCGTCGCTCGCATTGCTCTGACAGATCGTGCATTTGTTTCGATAGGAAGGCGCCCGCCTCTGGGGTCCTGGTATCATAAAACAGGGAGAGCTTCCCGTAGACTTGAACGGCAGAGTAGTTCCACGTCGGGACAACCTTGCCGGTGTCGGGCTTTGTCTCAGTGTAGAATTTGGGGGTCACATAGTGATCATGGCGTCCGTTGAATACCACCAAGACATCACGCTCGAGCGGAAGGATGCTCGGTGGTGCTCCGCTGGCAAGCTCGAGCATGGCTTTGGCTTGGGGATTCTGCTTGGCGATATGGGCACGTAGTTGCGGATTGGACGACGGGTTTTCTTCGGTCTTGGGGTGGTCTAGCACGAAGGGGACGTGGGTGCATTGGAGAAAGTCTTGGGCGGAGGAGTCAATGCCCGTAATGAGCATACCCAGAGGGTTCTCCTTGATGAATTGGAGGAGCACCTCCTCATCAGATTCGGCATGTGTACTGGCAAAGAACATGGTTTGATGGACTGGAGGAAGAGTATACTGTGTTGATTGTTGGAAGACTCAAGGCAGAGTATTGGGGAGGAATAGATCAACTTTATACTAATGTGATGCCTACGTAGATTGATGTGCCACTGGCAATTCTGGAGCAATCAGGATTCTCGCCTTATCTGTCTCAAGCATAATAATACAAAGGATTTGATTTGACCAGCGATTTTGACTATAGTGCTATGCCTCTTTCCATGTCAAATCTCCGCTCGGCGTCGTTTTCGCGCACCCGATCGGGTAATTTATGGGTCCAGATCCACTTTCGGCCAGAGATTCGATCGCTCTCAGTAACCCAGTTGGGGTAACAGTTGCCTCCGCCCCTGTCAGTCATGGCTCGGTATTTCGTGGTGGCCTCTTAATCAGCTCTGCGAAGGAGATCTTACTATAACAGGTGTGCGGGTGCAATGTACTGTCTCTCTGGAAAGAAAAGACTCTGTTTTTCGGGCACGGCGTAAACGACAGCCAGTAAATCATAGAAAGTATAAGTATCCGCCAGTTTTCGCTAGCATAGACGAGGACTAGCATCCTGGAAAGCGTATATTGTCCATTTAGTCTAGCAGGAACTATCAGCGCATCCAGCACAATGGCCAACCAACCGCCACTACGCATCGCAGTTCTCATCAACACACCTCCTGGCAATGAGTTCTCGAACGATGTCCGCGGGTCTTATCAAGATGCCTTTGATGTTATTGCACCGAACGCCAAGGTCGATATGTACGATCCCGTGTTTGAAGGAAATTTCCCTAATCCTCAAGAGTATGACTCGATCGTCTTGAGTGGAGGGAAAGCCGATGCCTCATCCTCGGAGCCCTGGGTCCTTGGTGTTTTGGACTTTCTCCGTAGGACTGCGCGGGAGTCACCAAAGACTAAGATCCTGGGTATCTGCTGGGGCCATCAAGCTATATCAAGAGCATTTGGGGGAGAAGTACAAGCAGTGCCTACGGGACCCATTGTATGTGTCGCAGCCCGCCCAGCTCATCATCACCCACAAACTGACTTATCTTCTATGATAGGCCGGCCTTGAAGATGTGAAGTTGACCGAAGCTGGAATGAAGTTTTTCTCTACCCGATCAGGTGTTAAGACCTACGTGCGTTGTTTGATGGCTGCCCTTTGATTGTTCGCCCTGCTGATGACTCTCCCCAGAGGTTACCGGAGTTTCATGTACGAGAGGTGGCCCGACCTGGAGTAGGCTTTGTTCACCTGGCGGAAAATCATGAAATGTTTGTTAATCAAGAAAATACTGTGTTGTCGTTTCAGGCGCATCCAGAAGTCCAGAATGAACTGGCCAAGAAGATGTTGTTGGAGGAGGATGATGTGTACAATGGCAATCTTTCAAACTGGGAACTACAGGATCAATTGGCAAAGCTGGAACGGCCAACAGATGGCTCTGAAGTGCTGAGACGGGTTATAGAGTGGGTTAGGGAGTAGATTGACCCTATTTGCAATATTAAGCATGGGTTATACTAGCATGATAGAGGGGTTCTTGATCTTAACAAACTGTCATCCTTTGCTCGTGTACATTCGCGATGTGACACTGGTAAATCAGATACTTAATCTACATAGTCATTTTGCCTGGAACGTTGAGGTCTTGCGATAGAGCCACGATGACTCATGTTAATTCCCTAACTATGGCCGATTCTCTGTATGCAGTGTAACGGGGAAAGCTCACATCCGGCGCCACCTGATCTTACGAAAACAGCAGTTATATCCCTGAATGCTGCTATAAAATAGAGTGAGTCAGTATTTTGAATTTACCGCTTTCATTAGCCGATATGTTACGTTCCTCTTGTTATGGCGCCAGATGACTCAATCGCCTTCTCCGAAATGCCAAGAACTATACTCGATCTCCGCGGTGTCAATCTTCCAAGATCTCTGGACCTGGCAAGTTAATTTAGTCAAGAACAACCATAGAAGCCAAAAGAGAATTAAAATCAAGTATGAATCTCTGGTGACATATGTACCGATAGATAATTTCATGAAGGGAGATGGACAGGTAGACGTAAGCTTAGAGATGCCATTACCGGCTGTAGCCTTGATTTGGCCTGGAAGAGTCTGACTGTGTACGACGCTTTATTACCACATCATTGGATGCTCAAGTCCCATTTACCGGCATCTGTTCCTATGAAAGTCTCACTGTAGTTACTGGTCTCTGCATCGTCTTTGCCGTTCCGATGCTATCCGGAAGAAAACATGCCTTTGTTGATGCTACTCCGAACGCTAAGGGCCCACTCTTCCCCCACATCCATCACTCTCTTGCTCTTCCGGCGCGATCAAAGCAACGTATTTCATCTACCATCTACCCTAGGCTACAGCAATCCTGAAAAATTCCTGCCTTAAAGTTACTTTCTGCTCGAATTCAATCTATCTGTTAAGTAGCACTCATCTTGACATCTAATAACAGCACACCATGTCATCCCCCAACCCCGTCGATGCCCCGCAACATGTCCTACAGCTCCTCTCCGAACTTCACAAAAAATCCCTAGAACAAGAAGCTACAATTTCCAAGAATGGCAAGTTCATTTCTACGGCTGTTCTCGGCAAGGGCCCTGCCGCCAACCCGCAAGCCGAATTGGACCAACTCATGCTCGACAAGTTCATCGCGCTGGACGAAGACAAATGCCAATTTACCTATCAGCTGATCAACTCCATGGGCGCTACCAATATCATCGAAGCAGGCACCAGCTTTGGGGTTAGCACTATCTACCTTGCTCTGGCTGTCGCAAAGACCACCGCGGCGACAGGCAAGTCTGGCACTGTCATCGCGACGGAGAAGGAGAAATCAAAGGCAGATGTTGCGCGGGGCTACTGGCATCAGTGCGGTGAAATTGTGGAGAAACAGATCGATCTGAGAGAAGGTGATCTGCTTGAGACCCTGAAGGAAGGGCTACCGGAGATTGATCTTCTCCTTCTTGATAGTGAGTTCTCTGATCCTTGATAGACACTCCACATGCTAACTGAGATCCGTAGTCTGGACTCCACTAGCACTTCCTACCCTCAAAACCGTTCTCCCTCGCCTTCGACACGGTGCAGTGGTTCTTACTGATAATACGATCTCCGGCGCTCAGGGCTACGCGGATCTGCTGTCCTTCTTGAGATCACCTGAGAATGGCTTCCGCAATATGACGTTGCCTTTCACTAATGGGCTTGAGATGAGTGTTTACCTGCCGCAGGGAAAGTGAACACAGAAGCAGGGTTCCAACAAAGGGGATGAACCAAGATGTATCCAGGCCAAATTTATACATAGTTGCATGAGCTCCTTGACTCAATAATAGTACATATTCACTTGACCCATCTCATAAACTCAACACGAAGTCATGGCCTGACCTGCCTCCTGGTCCGCAGATTCCAGTTCCTTTCCTGTTTTATGTGCAATGAGAGCTTTCAGGAACTCATCGACATCCTGAGCACCACTTAAAGTCAACGCCCCACCTTCAGCATCCTCTCCTCCGCTAATCCGAAAGTATGGCACACCGTGAAGGCCCTCCCGACGAGCCTTCGCCGCCATATCATCAACCTCCTCCACTCCTTGCCCCTGCTCAAGCCAGGTCCGGACTTTCGCTTCCTCCAAATACCCCTCACTAGTGTACACAGCAATGCGCACCAGGGTTTCAATATCAGTGATATCCAGCTCATCCTCGAAATGAGCCCGGAAGATACCTTCAGCAACAGCCGTAGCGATATCGCGATCGCCACGTCCATAATTATAATTCTCTTCTTCCCGACTAACCAACTCGCTCAACAACATCACTTGATGCGCACGTAGACTATTTCCGAATCGTCCTTCGAACTTGAAATGGATCCCTTCTTGTACACCTAGTCGCTCCAACCGAGCTTTTGCGGCAGGAACTTTATCAGCACCGAGTCTTTGGGTCATTCGCTCTGTTGTGGGTGAGAATTAGTATTCGCCTCGATTTTGGAAGATGTAAGGCGACAGACCTATGTAGGGAACACTTTCCATTGGAGCATCGCGGTCTAGAAAGTACGGTTTCCAGGAGATGCGGATACGATCTTGGCTTTCACCGGGATAGGTTTTCTGGTATAGGCGGATGGCCTTGGTTAGGCGGCGGTAGCCGATGTAGCACTGTCGAAATGGAAAGTTTAGATTGAACTAGGTTTTAGAAGGCAACGATGGAATGTGACATACCCACGGGCATACTGGATCCGAGATGACAGTGATTTCGATGAGTGCCATGGGTGCGGGCAAGCTGGATTGAAGCGAAATATGGTTGGGAGGATTGGGGAATCTAGGTAGAGGGATTTTATGGGCTATATAAGTAGTGCTGACATTTGATTCGGGGTGGGACGAAAGATGCCGACTAGAAGAGTGGCGTTGTAAATGTAGTTGCCTCAGACGGAGACATGTTTCGACTGATTCCAGGCGGCAATCATCCGCCGATCGAGTGAAGCTAAGGTTCTTCGCTGGACGCTAGTAAGAGTGCATTTGAAAGTTAGCCTGCTGAAGAATATCACTATTTCTGTCTAACATCTTAGATATAAGATGCTATCACTGGATTATTTATCGCAGTACGTGGGCCAGCAAGAAGTACCTGCATCGACTCAAGGATACTCTAATCGGGCCACTCACGCTGCGTCCCCCCCTGCCCCTCCTCGGATTCGGCGGGAATAACCTGCTCTGGAGGACTTTCCATGCTAACCGACCAATACTATCATCGCCTGCGACTCTTGCATATCGATACCTGCAGACCCCACTGAGCTTCAAGGCAAATGATTCCCAACGAAACGTTGGAGCTAGGTGAGCTGGACAACGAGGTGCAGTTGTAGGGCAGCAACTGTCAGGCCAAACAGCTTGACACATCTTAACTTCGAATTTTCTGTACCTCCTCACCCGTTTCATCTTCAACCTTGCCAGTAACAGTTTCAAATCGAATTATCTTCTTCTTCGACTGATTATAGTGTCTGTTGAGACGAGATGGGTGACGGAAATACCTTTGACAACAAAGACAACACGGTTCACAACCAGGCTGGTAGTCAAGTTGTTTATGGCAGTATCTATAATAATACTTTCTATGCCTATGATCAAGGTATATCATTCGGTCAAGCTTCTAATAATTACACCAGTACTGATATTCAGTCACAGATGGCGCACGGCATATTGCTGAGGATAAGGTAGACATATATACTGTTCAGCACCCAAATTTATCATCACAGACTAATATGACACCTCCGATGCCAGTCTCATCTTGATCAGAAGCTCCTAGAAGCAGCCGCTAAAGGGGAGACTGCGAAAGTGGAACATCTACTGGACAACGGCGCAAACGTTTCGGCCGCGGATTCGCAGGGTCACACAGTGCTTCATGTCGCTGCATCTGGCGGACACGCTGATATTATCAGCATCCTATTGCGGCGAGGGGCTGACAAAAATGCGAGAACCCGCTCTAATTACCGTCCTTCGGAGCTCGCCAGGTTGCTTGGTCATATCCCCCTTGCGAACAAGCTGGAGCTGAATTTACTATGAGAGAAAGACCACCTAGATGGTAGACCGCAAATCTATGAATCATTAAATATAGTCTTGTTCTGAGTATATTCCAACTTTGGCCAAAGTCATACACTCAACTCTCAATGTGTATAGAAAGCTTAACAAGGGCAAACCTCAATTCTCACGGGAACCCGTCTGATTCTCTTCTCATCATCACCAAACAATAACTACACAAACTCGAACTGAGATGTTCTGACCAGAGTCTAACGTTGCAATTCATGATTGCCTCGATAGAGTAACTAACCGGGTACTACTTGACATGCGCATCTACCGTGCAAACGACCCAAAGTTCATTCCCCCATTAATAGTCTGCTGGCCTGCCTGGTTCATGATGGAAGCTCCATCATTGTTGAAGTTGAAAACAGGGCTCTAGAATGCAAATTAGCAGGCGTAGCAGTGAACATCAAGCAGCAGATTCTTACACTCGACTTCTGCTTCACGGGTACCTCAACCATCATCTTCCTCAGTGCACCAAGCACCAATCCGTATCCTTCATCATCCTCCCTCGATCGGAACTTGCAGATGTTCTTATGATCGGCTTGGATGGATATCATGTCTCCGCGACCGGGGATAGTGGCAGAATTGCGGTCAACCACCTTTGCTCATGTTAGCCTAACTATTGAAACTTACAGGATCTGCAGTTTATTTACCATAACTCCCTGTGTTTTCAACTGCTCATAGAAAAAGGTGGTCAGGATAGTGTCGTCGGAGTTGTCACGTTTTCGCAAAACGTTCGCAAACTCTTCGATCAGGTGCTGCAGTGTGTCTGATTTGCTTTTCAGGTCTGAGATATTTGCTTTGTTGCTCTCGAAAATATAATCCGCTACTTTGTTGAGACGAGACACCCAGTTTGCGATTTCGGAACCGCAGAATGGGGTTCCCAGGAAGACTATCCCTCGGACGTGTTTGCTGATAATCTGTGTATTGTCGGAGGGGGAACTGCGGTTGCCTGCTACGACAGCCTTCGATGGCTTGTTAAATCTCCCCAACATTGGGAATAAATGAAGGGTTGTCAACTTACCTGTGCGCAGACCAAGCCACCCAAGCTATGAGCTACGAAAATTATCGGGCGCTCTGGCTATTTGGCATCCTTAGTGACGATACTCAGAAGAAGTAGTGTTGCTTCTTACCGAAGAGGCTCTGAACCGCGATAGCTGAGCACAAAGATCCTCAGCATTTCCCACAATTCCGTTCTGCGATAAAGCGGATGTGAAGCTGACCACCCGTGAATCATATCCAAAAGTCATGATACGGGTCTTGGGTAAGTCCTGCGGAAGAAGGGCTTGGGGCCAGCACACATCGTCGATCGTCCAGGTTGCGTCGCGACTTCCGCCAAGACCGTGGACAAAGACGATACTGAATGCAAGTCAGCGATAGGAAAGGATATTGGCTTCTAGGGATTAGTCACATACTCTACCTCCGCTTCGTTGGAGTCGTACAACACTTTAATGCCATACTGAGGTTCGCTCTCACTGGCCTTTGCCGAGCTCCGGAAGATAGTCATGATGAGTGTCTGCTTTATGCAGAGAATGGCGGGGTAAGTGCTTGAAGCTCTTCAGTCAGTCACTGAGGATGTAAGTAATTTGATTCCATGTCTTGAGTGCCGAAGGAAGCCTGGATGGCTTTATATCTGCCTGCATGATACGTGAATAGCCAGGCACTCAACTTGAATCTCGCTATAGGTATTGCCTGCCCTCTTTCCTTTCCTCTGCCCCGCCCATTCCTTGGGCATCCTGCTGGTCTACCAGGCGAAAAAAGACAGGTCCAAGCCATCATGCATAAAAGCCCGGCGGATGTCGATCATTCTCAAGTCGAGATGCTGTTGGCTACTGATGCGGCCATGTCACCCTAAATGAACCCGAGGTCTCCGAAGGAGTATCATGGTACTAAATTCTGGTTACTCCAAGGCTTGCATTTTTAGGTGGACGCGGTCGAATTGTATCTGGTCAAGATCCCTTCGGGGCGAGTGATATAAGGCTCTGATATAGGTGGAACCTTCTATGATGTTGTTTCCATTGGCCAGTGAGGCACATGCAACTTCCCCTCATTCTTGCATGAGGCCATTTCGTTCTTTGTACCTCGCCACAGAGATTTCACCCCGGGTAGAAAACCCAGAAAATGCAACAACCCATCGCTATAGCATAGCATTTTGCGCTCTCGGCAAAGGTAGTATTGGTCGAGGATGACAGAATCACTCTCACATCTATAGAATCAAGCTGACATTCAGAGCTGAGTAACTAAACTTTCCGAAGCCTATCATATTATGTGGCCCATTCAGATGATTTAGTAAAATATCATTCGTCTCATTAAACATTAATCATAATATGTATCAATAGTCCATCCCGGATATACTACGCCGAGTCTACTATATCATCAAATCATATCGAGCCTCTCTTCAACGGAGTAACCTCATCCAGAGAACCCAGTCCAGCCATGCGCACGCCATCTTTCCCTTGAATTTCCCCAAACATGACCTTCAAGTTCCTCAATTCATCCGGAACATTCTCTCGACCTCCCAAGCACCCCTTAGCCGCCAGGTCGTCTAGCCGTGCACTAGCTCGAGTAGTACACAATGTCTGAAACAAGCCGGTCATGCTGGCAGAGATACCGTTGCTGATTAGCGCGTGTCCACCAAAGAGGATAAACGCCAACGCCGATCCAAGGCACACAAAGTACGTGGCGATCAGGCGTGCCGGTCGGCTAAAGGAGTATACGTTCACCGTTAGATGGTTCGTAACGGTAACCTGGGTGGTTGTTTGATTCATGGTCAAGAGGGAGATTGTAATGTTTTTCAACAGATCTTGCATTGAAGCGCCTGTAATGTTGAAGGTTGGTGTGTTTGATGGGCCTGTGTATAGGTCTGTCAGGGAGATGATAGTGTTGGCTGATGGCTGGCCGTGGATGACTACAGTTGGTGAGCCTCTATTGATGTTAATCTATTACTTGCATAAAGGAGTACTCACTGAGCATGTCAATGTATCCTGAGAGTGCTAGGACCAGTGTGTCCTGGATAGCGGCCAAATTCGCCCGGCGGAAGATGTCAATAACATTGCCTCCGGTGTCTCCCGTAGTGGTCGCATTTATTCGCGAGTCCAGAGCCCCAGTCCGAGGAGATACGCCACCATCGTCGTACATATGCGAGCTGTTTAGCTGGCGAATTGGGTTAACCTCTGCCGTGACATATTGTTGGCTCCCCGTGTAAGTGATGTGCAGATTGTAGGTCGCCTCGAATGCTCGGCAGGTGAGGTTGTCGTATTCATTGTCCCTCTTCCAGCGCAGGCCGAAGTCAAAAACATTTTCTGAGCGGTTTGTGCGAGCAGCACTGTCTTGCGATGCGATGTAAAGATACCCTCTCATGTTCGTCTGAGGGTAGGTCTGGTTGACCCAGTTGTAAAGATCTGGAGAGGAGTAGTTGCGGCACTCGAAGCTGGGGCCCGGTATGTTAATACTGTAGGAGCAATCGGTAGCACACGGAGACGAAGCTGGAAGGTAATGCCCCGCCATCATGGCCTGTCTTGCGACGCGGGTAAGCTTATAGGTAGGTCCACTATTAGAGTCGTTAGGGCCTCTGTCCACAGTGCAATCAATAATCACGTTCAGTCTAACCTATAGGCATCGTAAGAATTGGGCTGCCACAGTGCTTCGGTCATCATGCCAGCAAAAGTGCCATTTCCAATGAAGGCTGGGTCAAATGTCGGAACCGATTGGTTGGCCAAGGTATGGAACGACTTGGACTCGACGGTCAGGGCACCCGCTGGGAAGATCATGGCGATGGGGATACACCAACATATTAAGGCGCAAATAAACGGGATAGGAGCCACTGTTAGGAGCTGCACATTTCCGAGGTAGAGGGGGTTCGTCAGCACTGAGAGGAAGGCGTCAATGTCGCCGATGCGCATCGGGCGCGCGCGCAGGTCCTTCCACAGCATCTGAATGAAAGACATTCCCAACGCGGCGGCCAGAAAGGTCCGGAACCCGTTCACGAATACAACAGATAGGGCTGTCACGTATGGCTGCTTGATGGTCTTTTCGACTTCACGCTGGTCCAGCCAATGAAAGAGACCGAGATGCATGGATGCCACAGAGGCCGCTGAAACGCACCGTTAATAACCCATCCATTTTGGTGGAGAATAGGCGCCGATATAACAAGGCACCTCATCCTCTACATAAGGAAAGCCTACCTAAGAGAAAGCAAGTAATGATGGAGCTTGGAGTCATCCACCCAATGGTCCAGTGGGACGTGCTGGGTGTGCCCTTTTCGATCGTGGATGCGACCGACGAAGGGGTTGCTGGAGGTTCATCGGAAAATCCTTTTTCATTTTGGGGTACAGTAGCCTCTGCGTGTGCATTCTCAGTTGAGTTTGTATTGTTCTCCGATAGTACCTCTACTTCCGGTTCTCCTTGATCCGCCAGCGTGTAGTGATGCTGAGGCGCCATGAGGAAGGCTGCAGTCTGCCAAGCGGACGGCGAACAAAAGTGGATGAACGGATTGCAAGACGGCCTCGAGACATTTAAGGCCCGGCTCATCTCCGAACAAAGGACGGAAGTAGGCCAATGCGGCGCAGCAACCCCGCCTCCAGGGATGAATTGCAAATTTGGCCGCAGGGCCTAGATAGGCTGAGCTTCGGAACGAGCCACCCTCCATTGCGTTCATGGATTACGGTGCAACGGAGACTAAGGACATGCATCCGGACAGCAGCATCACATGGAGGGGAAATTCAGCTAGAGCAGCCGGGTTGAGAACACAGCGAGCGTGTCAGCGCTAGTCAGCAACGGCGCAGAATTAGCTCCAACCGGGCCCTGATCGTGAGGTTATTCCCTGCATTCACCCGCTTTCAAACGGTCAGCTATTGGCTGGAAAAGCCATCGCAATCAACGAGATACCTTTAATAACCATCCGCAGGTGCGCCAGGCAGGGTTCATCGCAGGCCACGTACACGCGACCGAACAGTCGGGTGGAAGCACTGCCTCGCTCTGCCTGTCTGCCCGCAGCAAATAACCCATTATTCTCTGGTGAATGCAAATCACAATACATTA